TTTCACTTCTGTATTGTCAATTATTTTCTAAATCATCCACCGAGACCTTGCAACCCGTAATGTGTTGGTAGGACAAAATGAAACATGTAAAGTAACGGATTTTGGGATGGTCAGAGATGTGCAGCAGGAGAATATTTATGAACGGAAAACAAAGGTTATAGAAAGATGAGAGGGTATTTGGTTACATGATATTCAGCATAATTTTTTTCCACAGTCTTTGAGGTGGTGAAGTTGACATATTCATGTTTTCCGTCATAAATTCTCAATACACCAAAGAGTATAAATCAACTTCTGCTGAAATCTTTAGGGTCGTCTTCTACTAAAGTGGACAGCTTATGAGGCCTTGTTGTATAGTAAATATACCACCAAAAGTGACGTGTAAGTACATCTCATCGTTTCTCTTGGCGATGAATTCTCTCGCCTCTTCGCAGTTGGAGCTATGGAGTTGTCCTTTACGAGATTTTTACCATAGGTAACTTCTTGTGGAATTAATTGACTCTTTGATGATGCTTTACTCATAGATTGTTTTGTTAAATTATTCAAATTATTTTATGAAATTAATCAACACAATCTATCTAGATGGACAAAATGAATTGATCTTTTCTGCGGAAATCTATCCTTCGCCAAATGAAACAGGAGGCACAGCGTCGAATTTTACTCTCAAGTAATTCTTTTTCAGGCAGTTTGCCTTATCTACGAATGGATAGAAGAAAAATTGCAAACTTACTCCAGCAGGGATACAGAATGCTCAAACCAAAACACGTGGATGATAAGTCGTAAGCTTACTTTCCTGTTTTCAGCTTGATCCGTACCATAAGAATCCTGGGCAGCTATTCCCCATTAAATGATGGTCTTATTAAAGATATATCAATTTCAGGTACTAGATCATGACGAGCAGCTGGCAAAATGACCCGGATGTGAGATAAACATTCACCCTGCACAAGGTGAGACTTGTGATGAACATAATAACCTATGTCTTTGCTTTCATGTAAGAGAGAATGAAAGCTTAGCTGCGTGCTCTCTCCAAATTAGTAATGATTTATTCAGATGTCCGAAGAGCACCTATTGATCTCTATTTATTGGTATAATACCTGTTTCTTTTGTGTCGTGTCACTAGGGTTCCACGACAGGAATTTTTGAAAATCCTCTCTCTCGGCTGTTATTCTCCATCGAGTCTCTTAAAATAAGCAAATCAAAAATTTCAGATGACAACTGTTTATGCTAGTTGAATAATAACGGATTGGATGATTGTGAAAAATTCACAGTAAAGTTTTATTTTTTTATGCAGAAGCTGATCAACATGAAAATGTACGACAAGCAGTTGTATCCAAACGTCGAGGATTTACCAGTGTAGTCGAGCACACGTTGTCATTGTTTGATTGGCTGTTAGAGTGCTTTGCCACAAACGTTCAGGGAATTGATCACTATGCTCAGAGAGCTCACAAGGTTGGAGAAGTCAGTCGTTATTTTTTAATTCTGGTTCAAAGTCCATTCATTTTCAATAACTTCTATTTGAAGCGAAATACTATCAAAAGATGCACTTTCCCAATCATTACATACTTTTTATTTATTCCTTAACATATGAAGTACAGAAGGCGTGCTCGCTTTAAAACTTTGTGTCCTGGGTTCCATACCCAGCACCATTCTGAGAGGTAGGGAGCCTTAGTGAAATTAGTTCACACGCCTCGATATCTGCTTATTGTAACAATACCTTTTAGAAAAAGAATCCATTAATTTAGATTGATGGGATGCCGCTCTGAACGCCACGGTTGTTTGAAATAATAAGAAAATAGAAAAAAATTGGCTGAGTGCCTTCATGCCATATAAAGTCAGCTGTGTACAAAGTATAAGTTTTATTACGCGGTTTGATTTTCACAAATATTCTTCACCCGTTTCTTCTGTAAAAAAAGTAAAAAAAAAAGCCAAATAGTTATGAACTTTACTGAAGCTTATTTTCAATCAAACTAGTCTTACAGCTGAACGTATTTTATCCTTCCGGTCAGGAAAAACTCCTTTTTTATCTGAGGAGGAAACCTGAACCCTTCCGAATGCAGACACTGAACATAAACCTCCAGAGAGGGAGGTTGAACTAAAGTATATAAATACAAACTGTAGATAAATTACGCACCACCTACAATCACATTGAAATAAGTGCAAAGAAAATTGGTGTAAATTAAAAGAAATGTATTGTAGAATACATAAAAAAAAGCAGCGATGTCAGCGTAGAGATATTTGCCCCAGTAAAATCCCGCCATTCTATTCCCACGTGTACATGGCCTCTAAAAAAGTTAGAACTGTGAAAACAGTGATTTGCCCCTATTCTTAGAACTGCAGCAAAGGTCACCTTACAATTTTTTCTTCGTTGCTTATCGGCTGCATGCCTGTCAGTGCCCTGATGAAATCATAGCCACGCTTTTCAGTGATAATAAAAGGAACTCCATCTTGTGTGACCCTTGGTTGGAACATTGCAGTCTGGGAATCTTAAAAAAATTTCTCTGTGACAAATAAAAAGGACATTGAAGAGACATTTATTCATTCAGTCATTCATTTATTAATTTTGCTGGTAGTCAGTCAATCAGTCAATAAGTCTGTGAGGGAGGCATGTGCTTTAGGTATTGACTTTTGCATCAGATCGAAAACCACATATAAACCCTTCTCCTTTCAGGCTAGCTATCACATTGAAGCTATTGAAGTTCAATAGTGCTTTTATGTTTTATTCTGTTCCATTTTTTCCAGTTTTTGCACACACACACACACAAAAACAACAACAACAACTACAACAACAAAGTAAGAGAATTACACACCTTCCTTAAAAATCAAAGTAAAGAGTAGATTTTATTTGCAGTTTTATGAAATGCTACAATAGGAAATTTTTGGATCCCCCTCCCCTCTTGGTCTCCCTTATACCCCTACACCCCTGCATCCCTCCACTTAACATTCCCTCTCGTAACCAGAGTTCATCTGAGGCGCCTCTGACATTAGACTTACCTTTACCAACACCGTAGCTGTAATACATAACAAAGCTAGTTGTTGTTTCCATTTCATGATCGTACAGTAGCTTCACGGCTGATTTTACTTCGGCACAAGACTGAAAGTCTTAGAGACGACATGGTTCGAAGATACACGAAGAAGCTGATACCAAGATAAAGGTAATCTTGAGGAAAATTACTCTTTTAAAAATTGATTCGATTTGATTTTCCCGCACTTCTTGTCATGTACTGACTGAGTTTGCGCGTCTGGATTGCGTAATTATCTTGCTTGTGATCCGCTTGACTTCCGTTTCCGGCCCCAGGAATACGGCCCCACAGAGATAGATCAGCGGAACCCAACCTTGATTATAGGTTGTGGCCCTTGGAAAAGAATTCACTGTTGATAAACAGGAAAGAGGAGTTGAAGACTGTTACAAGCTATTTTTTATTTGCGTGACTTTAATTTAGCTTCATACGCGCGCGTGATTGATATCGGTGCCATCGAGTCACGCTCATTCGACACGTTCGCAAGTTTCACGCATAGTTTATTCTGAATGGAACGTTTCGCCACAAGGAAAGTTCCTACAATTCATGCAAATGTCCCAAGTGTATAGGTTAGATCGAGTTTTTTTTCCATAAATTGCACCATCCGCCATGTTGTCTTAGCAATTTTGCCGACTACGGCCGACAAGTTCACGAGGGTGATCGTGACATTCGGTCCCAGCCTCAAAACGAAGTTCTCTCCTATCCCTTCAAGGAACTTCTGTAAGATTTCGGGACAACCTTCCTTATTGAAGCATCAGCGAAAGTCTAATAAGATGGTGTCTTTCCGGGATTATGAAATGAACTTACTCTTTCTTCTGCTGGTAAAGTTTCACGGGTCAGGTAACTGTGAAATTTTTTCTCCCACACAAAGGATTTTACAGTGTTTTTTACCGTGTGCCATTTTTAAGCTTAGACACCAAAGACGCCGACCCTTCATTTCTGAACGTGATGTTTGTCAAAATGATTTCCGAACTCCAAGGTGGCTTTCGGCAGTTTTTGTATTTCAAATTTAAGATACGTTGTTGGGATTTCAATCCCGTGATGAATGAAGTCTGAATAACCATGATGCGATAGAAATCAAGAGCAAAGAATCTTATGCTTCAAGTGTAACAATACCATACGTTCAGAATTTAACATCAAAATTGAAACTGAGAAGTGCACTAGTGTGCACTAGATTAGTGTGAGTCGTATTCTTAGCCATTAGGAAAGTTACCGCTTTGTTAGGTGGCTTTCCATTACAAACATGATGGCTATGCAAACCCAGGAAAGAGTTGCCATCTGTACCTAAAGTTTCTTCCTTGCCACCCATCTCTCATCATTGGGAAGAGTTGTTAACAATTTTTCCCCTCATTATTGGTTCAAAGAATTACCTCAGCAAGGATAATTGCTGCTTGCTAAGTTGAGTGTGATTTTTTTCTCTAGACAGCAATCATGTAAAGAAACTACATAATGCACTTGGATGGATAATTGAACATTATTTGCTCAATTACCTACATGTATGATTTGTCTACTGACTTGACCAGTTTTTAGCTTACTGCACATATGGTTGTGGTATCCCACACCAGTAGTCTTGCTATAATCACTATGTGTAGGTGATTATAGCAAGAGCACTAAATTTCAAAATGGCTTCCTCGCATTTTGTCAAATGTTTGTTAGGAAGTAATAAAAACAATAGTAGAAAATTAAACTGTGAAGAGCGCAAAAGATATTAAATGATTAGCAGATCACTTTATTAAACAAAGGGATTAATTTTTTGCTGATTGAATTCAAAAAGCCTCTTAAAACTGTTGGCTTATCATGATACAGGTAAGCAACACAATTTTAACAAAATCTGGACAATGCTTTCTTTATTTACAGAATTTATAACAGAATTTGAAAGCACCTGAGCAATTACTGTATACTTAAACAATTATTTGTTGAAGGGAAGGGAAGATCAATAAATCTTATTTGATAGACAGGATGCTCAGATATGACCATACAACTTTTCAAAAAATAGAAGTCAAAAGACTAGAAAATGAAATGAGTGGAATAATAAATCCCTCATTCAATGGTTTAACATACATATGATATGTGTGAACACTTCTACTTTCCATTTTCTGCCTTGATAAGTTCTTCTTCAAAAAATTTCTTCAAGTGTACCATTAACTTTTAAATTTTGGAAATTCACCACTGTACACAGTTTGGATATTAAATAAAGTGGAACTGTCAAAAATGATTGTCAAAAGGCCCAAATAGTTACACACTACTGTTGTTGAACCTTATTTTTGTGCAAATGAAAGTATATTTTGAGCTGATTGATATCAGTGAATACAAATGTAGTGCATATTTACTCTTAATGTTGTTACTGCTTACACTAAAAGTGCCTCTGTAGTGGACCCTATTTAAGCCCTTCTTCTTAAATAATAATTATCCTTACACTTTTAACTAAAGGGCTGAGAATATTATGTTTATGGTCATCTATTTTAGAGGCTGCGGATGTGCGTTTCATCAAGGAACCTTCTAATCCAAGCTACTTCAACAATGGCAGTGACGCCAACCTGGTGTGGGACTACACTGATCCACAAAATAAGATTCAGTACATTATCTATAGTGTTCTGGTAGATGGTACATTTGTCAGAATGATGGTTAATGACAGTCGTGGTGTCCAAGAACGTCCTGATATTCCAATTTCTTACAAAGGAAGAGTTAAAATTGAAGGAAGAGCAACCCTGGTTATCAAGAACATCAACCCTGGAGACAATACTGAATTTAGATGTATGATATGGGGAGGAGGGAAAATTGAAAATACAGTTCAGCTTATTGTGGCAGGTACATATTACAGACATAACCATTAATAATCAAACATAAATCAAATGCATTCAACTTGTGTCTTTCATATTTCTGATATCTAGAAAAAGTAAAATTTATGGCATAAATTTGCACAAATCTTTATATGCAGGGCTGAAAATGGCTAGCTAACCCAACTTTTGGGAAAAATAGTGCTACTTTTACTTGGCATGCGAGGCTCCCCAAAAAGAAGAAAATAAATTCTAGCGTTTACTTTGCTGTTATCCTCATCAATAAGAATTCAAAGAGTAATTGCTTTATTCTTCTGGCACCAACTACTGGGTTGCTCTGTTATACACAGATAACTATTATTAATATGAGTACTGAGATTTTCTCTTAGCAAAGATGTCAATTAAAAATGGTCAGTCAAAACTAGACACAATCCAACTAGTTCTATGATTTTGCTAAATCAGTGAAGGAGATTATTGCATGACCATGCAGTCACAGGCAGTATGTGAAATTAATTTGGTGTGAAAAAAATGGCATTGCTTTTCAAGTCTTTTTTGGGACTTGCCAAAGGGAACGAAAGTCGGCATTACACCTTTTGCTGCTTTCTGAGGATTATGATCTTCAAGGTTTACAGATGTAAATTTAGTCAACAGAATGGTAACTTCCTCAAGTAAGTTCTGAGATTAAGGAGGAAGTCAAGACTTAGATTTGATTAATATGTGCTGGAGCAAAATTTCTAAAGTTATGCATGGAAGCAACAAACCAACAAAGTCTATAATCCAAGCTCTTTATGCTCTTTGGAAGACGTTGAGCATGCAAACAGAAAATAATTCAGTGATGATCAACTTGGCCAGGTACATGTAGGAATGCTGTTCCTGGCAGATGCTGTTATTCATGGAGGTCAGTTCAACAGCTTTAATTTTATTGCTGACTTTGGTTGCTCCACAGAGAAACTGGCTGAGTTCCGCAAAGAGCTCTAAGAAACTAAAAGTATTCAATTTCAATGTAGAGTATGAAACATTTTTGAGCTTATGCAACCTAAACTCTTCAAAAAATTTTCATGTATAAAACGAAAGCATTTACAATTTAGCTTGTGAGCAAGCTAAATTGTACTGAATAAAGTTTGAGCCTCTTCATACTAGTTGGTTGTGGGGGACCAATGGCTGGATACTTTTGTGTATTGTATTGTAATTGGGTAAATTTTAAAACTCAGTCCATGTAAAATTTGCTATACACCATATGAACCTCATATGGCATATAGCAAATTTTACTTGTCCTGAGGTGAGATATAATCTCTTTCAACTTTCAGAGGCACCACTTATAAACCTCTCTTCGGGAGTGAAATATTACACTGAAGGCTCCCCTGTCACCATGGCCTGCAAAGCTTCTGGGAAACCACAGCTGGATGTAGCATGGATTAGAAATGGAGAACTGAAAAGTTCAGGGAAGGAAGCTGCGTTTTTAAAGTTTGATAATATAAACAGAACGGATGCAGGACAATATACATGTCGAGCCAATAACTCAGTGGAAGTCACTTCCATTGAGACAACAATTGTAGTTTACTGTAAGTATAGTTTAACCTTAATTTTTATTTCTGAATTTACTTTATTTATAGTATGAATCCTGTTATTGGGGTCAGTTACACAAAACTGACGAATCTGTACAAAAGTGTAAGGAAACAAAATTCCACCTTAAATCCTTTTCGGCTTAGTGTGCACCAGTCTCAAGTATGGGTTGAGACAATTGAATATAGGTGGAATAATTTTTCACATTATTTTGCTTTGGAGGGCGTGACAATTTTCTCACCAAGTCATTGCTTCAGTTGGACTGTGTTTAACTCAGAAAATGGCTTACAGCCATTTGTGAGTCATTGTGACAACCCAAAATTTACTCCGTTTGACCAGCGCACAAGTCTAGCATATATTCTGATTCTGTGTGAGGGCTCTGGTTAGGGCTCAATGGAAATCCGAGGACTGGTCAAGATCCTCACTGTCGGCTGAGAAATTACACTTTTTTTTACTGATAGCTGAGATCAGGTAGTTGATGTCAAAATGGGCTGAAATTAAAACTGCATGCCCAAGGTTTGCGCACATGTTTGCATGTGTGGCGCTCGTAGAGATATACTATTTGAGGACGAGAATCCATTTTATATTTAATTACTCGTAAGCCTTGCCACCTTATACTGAATACTCGACTGCCAAATAACACAAACTTGACGGACTGTACTATGGAGTGATCACAACCTTCACTCTTTTTTTTTTTATCTGAAGACAGTGAAAGGAAAGACAAATGCTGCGCCCGTGTAATTGATGTCCATGGCTCTCTGGTTGGGAGTTGTGTTACTGCATGCACTATGCCGTCCCACTCTGTGAGAAAATTAATGAGTGAGTTGCCAGTCATTGGATCCTTGTGTTTGCGCACAGATTTTTGGGATCGCCACGGGGCAAACATTGCAACTCACTGGAAGGAATTGCGTGGCGAAAGTTTGTTCCGACGTCCAAAAAAATGATTTTAGAGAGAGATTATCGCTTTTTCGCTGCTCCTTTATCAAAAAATGGATTAGGGTAATGCTGATACAAGAGAAGAGTAAGTTTTTGTTTGAAAAACCGTGTATTATGTAGTAAAGTCTACCGATTAACTGGTCTCGAAATTTAGAAAACCTAACTATATAAATCGCCAAGAAATAACTCAACTAAGCCGTGTCAGTTTTTTGTGCGTGAGTTAAGTCTATTTCTAGCTTAGCTTAGTAATACAAAAGAGCGCTATAAAAGCTACCTTGAGGCAGCAGGAGATTGAAATGGTGTGCTGGAGCATTAAATATTAATGTAGTACATTCAAGTGATAAAATAGCTACGCTGCTTCTTTGTTTTGATCAATGAGAACGAATCAGCGTTGATGATTGGCTCAAAACTGAACCCTGTGACGATAAGTGATACAAACTGGTCTCTTAAGGGGCGACGCACAACTGATGATATGTCCACAGTCTCTGTCGGAGTTCCCGTGATCTTGTTTTCCCGTGATTTTTCTCAAACAAACTATCACTTGAACTGGGGATTTCCTCAGGTTTTTTTCATCGCTTATTTTATCCTTTCAGTGAGCATCAGCTCGGTAAAAATAATTTCCATCTCCGCTGACAACGACTTCTCTCCTTTGAGGAAGCATATTTTCAAACGTCGTAATTTGTTTATCTAATACGTTAGCAAGTATAAAAATAGGCTGTACATGTATAAATACAACTGAAAAGACTTAAAAGAGTTATTTCCTAGCGATTTCTGGGTAATTTTGTACTACTTTGAGACCATTACGCGATGACGATTTCACAATAGACCTTACGCAAGGAGAGAAGTATTTCGTGGTAACTTCTAAGGTAACAACATTATCTTTTTCCATGTATGATAAAACTACTGCGAAAAAGCCATAATCCCTCGCCAAAATCGCTTCTTTTGGACGTCCAAACAACCTTTCACCATACGTTCCTTTATAGCGAGTTTAATGTTTGCCCCGTGGCGATCCCAGAAACCTGTGCGCAAACTCAAGGTCCGATTACTGGCAACTCATTCACAGTTTCCGTGTTTGCATATACGCAGGCATTCGACCTCTGTTGTTAGGAGCAGGTAAAAAGCAAGCATGAACGGTATGCCAATCTCTAGATTTTGAACTCACACATTAGAATTACACCAGACATGCTTTCTTGGAGTAATCCACATACATGAAACATTTCCTGTAAAGAAAAAAAACAAGCAAACAAAAACGACCAAAAATGTCCAAAATCGCAATCGCAACGAGATCGCAGCGTAAAGGTTTGTTGCTCTCACCGTTCACATTTTGGCATTAGGGTTGCACTTGTGCAAGTACAAATCTGTTGTAACTGACGTTCTGTGACGGCCTTTCTAACGTGCCATATTTAATATTTGCCTCTTTACGAGTGAAAGTGAGTTAAAACAGTAATTTCCCTTACCGCCTCTTGATTTTTGTAGAGAAATATCAGACCTTCTTCTATTTTGAAGTCCAGGAATAGTCTTATATCTGTCGATGTAAGGGAATACATGTACTTGCATACTTTGAGCCATGTCATCGTACACGTAAATTTGATATTAATATTAATCTACGGACATAATCAAGATTATTATAGGAAATCATATTTCATTGGAAATGCTGAACTTTGGAACTTGTTGCAATCCACTATTTTTCCTCTTTTAAGACCAGCCTAGACAGCATTTATCTCTCAAAACGAGAAATTTATAATTCTCCTGGCTGCTATTGATATATGTTTTTAGTATAATTGCTCGGGCGATTATAGAGATGCACGCACTCTGATCGGTAGAGGAGTGCGTCATATCTCGCTTTAATCACCTTGTGTGAGGTAATTATAGCAGGAGCGCCAAATTTTAAAATGGCTCCCTTGCATTTTGTTAAGGGACAAAAGGGAAAGGAGAAAATTAAGTTCTTAAGAGTGGGAAAGATGCTAATAAGCTTGGCGTGACACTTTCCAAGATATGAAATTTTTGCTGATGGAGTGAAATGAATCTGTTAAATTCTAGTGGAACCTGGCTTATCTTTATACATGTAATCCATATTATTGTAACAGAATTTGCAAAACACATTTACAACAATTTGAAAGCATTTTAGCAAGTATACTTAATAGAGCAGTTGTTCGCCTCAGGCTCATTGAAGATTGTTGAATGACCATCTCGACGAAGTCGAGATGATTATTGGGGGGGTCATTCAACAATATTCACTCTGCCTTCGGCAAATAGATGTTAAATAAATAAAATATATATAAACATAAATATATAAATATATATATATATATATATATATATATATATATATATATAACTAACTGCAGTACTGTTTCGCCCTTCTGAGCCTCATCAGTGCAGTGCTGACGTTAAAAGGGAGGTAAGGCTATATAGCCACCCCAAGTGATCTCACACATGTGGGATCATCTAAGCCATGCCAGAGTGCTCAAACTAGAAAAACTAGTGAGCATGCATATATATATGTTTAGTTATTTCCTTAATGTACGTTAGTGATGTAGGGGGTTAGATAGCAATTGGAACGGCAGTTCTGTTTCTTTCTCCCTTTGCAGCCCGAGAACTTTCGTTCCAATTGTTATTTAACCCCTACATCCACTCATCAGGGGGTTTCGTTGGCAACCACGAAACAGGTCCGTAGGGATGAACTTGTAGTTTTTTGTCTTTTTCCTCCCACAATATATACATCGCTCTACTCCTATGTATTGAGCACTGTTTCACGAAAGTTAAAATTTTACACTTTTTTGTTTGTGTTGCGTGTAACGTTGTTTAAAAGTTTCTTCAGTTTGTCCAATGTAATTCTTTCCGGTTGTGTCATTTGCTGTTGTTACGTTGGCGTTTCTAAACTTAGGCGCGAAAGGCGCGAAACTCTGAGCAACAGAGAATCGATGCGTCCTCTTTAATTCTTTCACTTATATATATATTTATGTTTAATATATGGCTCAGGCGTGTGGCGACTATAATGGTGCTCTGATTGGCTAAGAGTTACATCCGTACAATCAGCACACAAAGACAACCAAAGTTCGGACTCTGCGAACAGTACGATGATTTGCCGATAGTTCGACACACCGGAAGTCGAATCGTGCTTTTACATACCGGAAGCGGAGGGGCGTGAACAATGTGTCAAAATGAGTAGCATGAAAAGAGAAATGACAACGTGAACCTTCCACGTTCTAAAAGCGTGAAACGGCCGGATTTCCATTGTCAGAATATCATATTATTTAAATGAACCTTTTTCCTTCCTAAAGCGTTAAATAGAGGCATTGAATGTTGACGAATCGACACGATTCGTAAGTGTGGATACGACTCGTCATTAGTAAAATAGATCCGTCTCACCGGAAGTCGATTCGCAAAAGAAGACAATACATACTTAAGCGTTAAATTGGGGTATTCAATATAGACGAATCGACTCCATTCGCGCGGGTCGACTCGAATTGTCATCAGTAAAGTCGTCTTACAAATCGACTTCGGGTATGACAGGTCGACATCAACTGTGACGAGTCGTTCGAATCGTGTCGATTGGACAAAATCTGCAACCCCCTTTCGCGGCCACTTGCGGAAAATTTTGGAAGTGTCTTGCAAATCGTCTTCCGGTATGACAGGTCGACATCAACTGTGACGAGTTGTTCGATTCGAGTCGAATCGAGTCGATCCGACAACACCTCTTACGAAGGGGGATATTTCTAAGTTGTCTTGCAAATCGACTTCCGGTGTGACGAGTCGACTTCAACTGAAACTAGTCGTTCGATTCGAGTCGAATCGAGTCGATTCGACAACAGTCGCAACGACCCTTGGTAATTACTCGCGGAATATTTTTTAAGTGTCTTGCAAATCGACTTCTGGTAAGACAGGTCGACTTTGACTGAAACGAGTCATTTGATTCGACAACGTTTTCATCAATCCTTGACAGTTACTTGCGAAATATTTCCAAATATTTTCGATATCAATATTTTTGCAAATTGACTTCCGGGATGCGTTTCCCTTTAATGCGAGATGGTTTATCAGATTTCCGGTATAACGGGACACATTAACCGCGCATCGACTTCCGGTAAAACGATTCGCAAACTGCCTTTGACGAATCGTAGCGGTTTGGGTGTATTGGACAACCCTCATTTTGGTCGTACGATCAAATTTTTCCGACTTGATGGGTTACTGTTGCAACTATTATTTTTTCAATAAGTATAGTCTACGCTGCGCGTTCTCCGCGCACCGCTATTGAATCAGTGCAGAGAGAGAGAGAGAGAGAGACCTTATTCTGGTTGCGAATTCATTTTTTCCGAGACCTGAAGAGGCGAGAGAAAATATGAGCTATCAGCAAAATTTCCGCTCGTATCAGATGTTAAACTCTCGATTAATGGATTTATTATTCCACTATTATTTTCAGTTATTAGTGTTTTAATTTTAGTATGCGAATTACATCCTACGGCCTTATCTGTGTATCATATCGGCCGTATGAGGTGCTCTTTCTTGCTTAAAAGTTCGCTACAGCAGTCAAATTAAAAAAAATTAAACAAAAAAATTAAAGTTTGGATCATTCAGGTCGGCCAATATGTTGCTACGTATTTTTAGCTTGTTTTAAAGTGTAATACTGTGGCATATTTTGCCGGTTTTATTACTTTATGTGGTAAAATGACACTGCAGTGGAATGATAAAGCTCATTAATTTTCTGATTGATATGAAGTATCACTAATTATTTATTCAATTGCTTATTGCCTTGGCATTTATTCTTAGACCCGCCCACAATTCAAAATGTCACCACGTCATCTAAGAAGTCTTGGATTGGCCAGACAGTGACTTTGAAGTGTCTTTCTGATGGTGTTCCTACACCAACACTCTCTTGGTACAAACCTGAAGGAAGTGAAATAAACAGAGTCACAGCCAGAGAAAACAAAGAACAAGTGCCACTCAGGGGTGATCAAGATTTTGGTCATTACAAGTGCATTGCTGCCAATGGACTTATTCCATCTGATGAGAAATTAATAAAGATAAGTCAGATAAGTAAGTCAATGAGATCAGTGTATTTTCATTAAAAAGAAAACTATATATGGGATCAGCATTTCCTTTTGCCTTTGCTCATTATCACTGTTTCAGGTGTATTAGAGGTAAAAGCCAAATTTTCTTACAAAGTATTGGACAGAGTAACTCATTCACTTTGTACATCTCATTCGATGATTTAACATTTAATACGTGCGGATATTTTGCAAGTCCCATAGGTGTGTGGAAAAAAATAAGCTTATGTTAAACCATCGAGTAAGGGATTTATTATTCTTTCATTTACGAACAATTTGTCCGCTTAGTTTTCGACATACATCTTACGGCCTTATCTGAGCGTTCCATTCGCATTTTTTCCCTCTTAAGCAGCATTAGACCTTCACATATATAACTTCCAACAGTAGACTAAACACTCCAAACACTCCAGCATTGTATTAACGCGCTTTATTTAAGAAACGATGTTGTAGTTGCGGTTGTTCAAAGCGGTTAAAACTAAAATCAAAACAAAGAAAAGAACGTTACAAAGTGAACTGAAACGCAACGGAAAGATGGACTAAAGCAACACTTACATTTGTTAGGAGCTGGGAAAAAAAACTGCACTGGAGCGGCGACGAACTGTAATGTGAAATCTGGCTGCCGTAGGGCGAAAAGTGACCGCTTGGAAATGGCAAGCAAAAAAAAACTGACCCGAAGAGGCTTACACGTCCTTTAGATACTACATTTATATTCATTAATTACAGGTTAACGCACTCAGCGAGTGAACTATGGGGATTTACCTGCACGAGTTCACTGACAATGAACGAGAAATTTCAAAGCCTCGTGCGGTTTTGAATACTCCGAGTTCATTGTTTGTGAACGAGTACAGGTAAATAATGACAAATCACGAGCCATGAGTACGTTAACATTTTAATTATTCAAATTGAATACACTGCACAAAGGAACACTGCTTTGAAACCACTATCTACAAGGTAAACTAAGCCATGGTGCAATGACAATGGTGTGTTGAATTTACACCACGGCTATTATACCACGATAACGATGTCAAGGAAGTTGTTTCGTCACAACCCAGTATCACGTGGTACAAATCATCTAATCAGAAAATCGAAATTCGAAGATTGTATGAAAGTTGAATAACAAACTGTGAGAAGAAGTGGACTTGCATTCATCCTTAGTGTTGTGACAAAACTCAAAATAATCTCTTTTCTTATGACACTATGTAGAGAAACCAGGGAAAGCATCCATCAAATCAGAATCAGTCATTCAAGCAACTTCTATAACAATACAATGGACTGCACCAGCGGATGATGGAGGAAGTCCGATTACAGGATTCCAAATGATCTTACAAAAGGATGAAACTGAGATAAAAAAGGTTAATATCACCGATCCTGGGACGACAAGTTATTCGTTTCGTGGTTTGGAGAAAGATACCAACCACACAGTGAAACTGTTTTCCAGAAATGTTGTATTCGAGGGAGATCCTACTGTATGGAACATTAGGACCAAGTTTGAAGGTGAGGAATCAAAAGTGATGTCGTGAGCACTTTACACCAATCATTTTTTCGCCAACTTAGATTTGTTGTGAGTAACCCAGTTTTAACAATGTTATCTGCTTGTCGCATTATAAGATTTTCGATTTTCAGCGTTTGTCCCCTCCTTAGTGGCCAGTTTCCTTTCCCTTTGTGATAATTGTTTTAGAGGTACGTGCGTTTGAAGAAGCATAATAAAAGTAATGAACGTAGGTGAGAACAATCGACAACCTACGCGGTTACGTTCCGCAAGTGCTACCCGATTTATCAAGTATTGTTTACCTTGTCGGTTTTTTTATTTTTATTTTTTTATTTTCTAATGTTCAGGTCTCAAAATCTGTTATGTGAATCAGCAACAACAGCCGCTAGAGAGTGATCTTTTCTTTAAGATGAGAAATGGCTTGTTTTCATTTCGCAGGGATAAGCCCAAACCAAAACAGTTAAGGTTGCCGTTTTCAAGAAAGTTTCTTTCGAATCTCATCCGGCACATATCTCACTCAACAGAAAAAGTATTGTGGGAACAGGTGTGAACTTAGTAACTGAAGTTGAGCAACCGTAACATGGCGATGAAGTTCGTCACACCTGTTATCCCTTAAGCGCTTCTTGTCATTGCCTCCTCGACTGGCAACCCCCCTGGAGAAAAAATTTTGTTGTCTCGGCGGAAGAACCCGCGCCAGCTTATGTTTGCAGAAGAAGAATCGTAGGTCTGGACGCTCAAATGGCTCGAGAAGCGGAGCATGCGCACTCATTTTTGCGCTGTGTCATTGCAAAGTGCCTGTACTAAGTCGTGCGCGATATCAAACTTTGAAAAGCAGAATATAGTTGTACACGAACTGAGATCCTTTCTGTAATTACGTGACACAAACGAATAGGGAATTGCGACCTCATCTATGCATCGGTCTTTCATTTGATCTCGTGTAAATAGCAATTAAATACCAGTAGAAGTCAGTGTATCGTTCAAATTCACCTTGTAAATGCAGTATTTGTTTTAGGCAATAACCGACCATCATTTTAGGCTTCTCATTATCGCTTCATCTCAATACTTAACTTAATTTTGCTTTCCATACACTATCGTTTCAAAAATATCCCAAAAAAATCCTTGACCAATTTACAGATTATTTAATCATTGATAATGGTGTGACTAGGTTTGTAACAAGAAGTTGTATAATTATTGAAAATTTCACGCTGTTCGTGTTGTTGACATCAATCTAGGAGCCCCAGATGTGGTCGAAATAGACGAACTGCCAGATGAAACAACAGACGATACAATTACCCTAAAGTGGAAGGAGCCAGAAAGTAATGGAAAAGTTATTACCATGTATACAGTGTACCAAAGAGTAGTGACTGATGGGAAAGTTGGACAGTGGACAGAAATAAAGAAAATCAGAGATGTTTCTTTGAGAGAATTGAAAATAACGTTGGAGAGAGGAAAGGTGTATCAGTTTGCCATTACTGCAACTAATGAGCTTGGTGAAAGCCTAAAACAAGAGAAAGCAAATATCCAGCAAGTCAAAGCAAAAGAAGGTATGTTCAAATGAATCTTACTTTCCCCTTTCAACGGTTTATCCTTTTCTTTACTTAGTTTTCAAGCACTCTCCGTGTCATCAACATCGAGGTTTTTACGGGTGAATTCTTCGCTTGCAAGAACCTGAATCAACGAGAAAAATTTTACTTACGTCGCAGTTGATATTTGTATGCCAACTGCAAATATATAGCATATCTATTAACTGTCATTGGCTGGCACTCACAGATATTTTAAGTAGTTTACTGACACATGCTGATCTGAATCTGGAAAGAGAAGTCTGCAACACTTTCGTTTTGTCTTCTCACATTTAAATTAACCGCTTTTTTCTTTTCTTTGCCGTCATCAGTTAGTTGATGCCTCTCTCCCGCAAAAAAAAAATTCACACTCCCACACTGAATTCCGAGAACTCTTCTGTCATTTTCACCACCACTGCACTTTACTCTTCATACCGATGAAAGCGACTTCGCACTTAGCTTCCTCTGCGCACCGTAATTTCGACACCAGATTACTGAGCCGCAAGAACTCAGAAGTGGCCTGTTGTCGGCGATTTCGCTTTAGCTTAATTAAGAATGTATGATCACGCTGCCTCACGCAGAGAGTTTGTCAATCTTTTCAGAGATTTTCTTCGGTGAAGCTACACAAACTTCCTGTCTCAAGGTCATGAAGGGGTCTTCATTTCCTTAGGTCTTAGGTCCTAGTTTTCGGGGACTTTCGTTTTCGCTACAAGCGTAGTTCGCTTTCTCTTTGTTGTTGACCTCTTTTTAGTCTGTTTTCTGGAGCTCTTTCAACCTTCTCACGTTGGTCTTCGCATGATATTCGCCATTTTACTTCAGCCTTTTCTTGTTCTCTATCGTCTTCCCCTCACTGTGTTCTACCTATTCTTCGCCCTATCAAACCCCATTTTGCGTTTTTCTCGACTCGCTCCACGTCTTTTCAGTTCTTTCTCTCTTAGGTCGCTCTCTCTCTCTCTCTCTCTCTATTTCCAGTCTATTTTCACTCGAGATCCTTTCTCCATGAACTTGAACTGTCGTAATTTCTTCCGTTTGGAAAAGCTTTAGCTCTGAGTATCGTTGCTTTGCAAGTTCATTAGAGATTGCAAAATACCAAGAATCACTTTTCAACAACAACCTCACCAGTATGATTTCCCGGGTTGCAAATTCTTTCCTTGCGCTGCTTCACACCCTCTAACCTTTTCTACAAACATCTTTGAAGTCGAGTCTAAAGTCTCTTGTCGTTATCAAGATTGAGATGAGATATTCTAGCTCTAGCTTGTCTTCGTTTAAATCAAACTTTAGCAGCGCATGAAACAGATACAAGACAAATTTCATATTTCAGCGGCCAGATATGCCATGATCATTGAAATTTGGTTTAATGAGGACAATCATGAAACACGAATAATCAAAAGAGAAGAATTGAGAAAATAACAGGTTGAAGTGACTATTCTTTTTAATTTAATACAATTATCGGAGGAGTTTGACACAATAGAGAAAACTGTGGAGTAAACAGTCATACTTGGCGACATAAAGAGAAGATATAAGAGAAGCCCGTACGTTTCTGGCGTATTGTTTCACTGACTCATTGTTCTCACTTATACCCTATTAATCGACCGGTAATCTCTTAACTGGAAGTTGTTTACGGTCGTTTCTTTAAAACTCTAACTTATTTTCCCAAACCAAAGTTCACAATAACGCTAAATGAAATATCATTTCAACCGACGCCTACATCATACACGACATCTGAAGAAGAAAACGTTATTTATCCTGAACCTGTGCGCACTCTGATTGCCTTTCATCATGATCGCAAAAGAAAAACTGAAGCCCCGTTTAAACGGTCAGGATAGTTGACGATAGTTTCAACTATCAAGCGCGTTTGAACACGAACTATCCTGCTCTATCATCGCATTTCATCAAATATCATGTAGTTTGGACATGTTCAAATTCGACATGATAGTTTGAGATAGTTTTTGCTGTTTGAACGAGAGGAAGATGGTGAATGATAGTGGTTAGGTCAGCAGTTTTGCCAAAAACGGGCTCAAACCGAGATGGCAATTGTTAAAATGTCTAAAATAGCCGTCGAAATTCCCCAGAATGTCTCGTAGTTAATTCTCATCATTTCCTGGTAGGCTTCAGTATCTTTAACTTGTAATTAACTTCTTGACTAAAATTTCAAATGTCACTGAAATTGCTGACCTCAGCGTGCACCATATTTGTGTACAATTACGCGATCTCATTGGGTGGTATTTTGTCAACTATCATCGACTATCATGAACCGTTTGAACACAAACTTGATAGTCAGCGATGTGAATGAAAGTTGAAACTATCGTTCAGTTGTCTATCATCAACGATCGTGATCGTTTGAACGGGGCTTAAGTCATTTGCATCCTGTTGCTGTCGAGTGAACATCTTTTATGGAAGACAGAATAGCAAGAAATGTATGTAATGCGAATTCACTGTCTATTGCCGCTCCTTCGTTAAAAAGGAAAGTTAAAAAGTGTTGAAGGGCCTGTGGGCTCTCGTCATTCTTCCGCGACCAAATTCGTTCTTAGGAGGCAACTAAAGAGATTCAGAAAGAATCGAAACAGCAGTCTTGCTTAAGGATCTTCGCGAACGGCAGCAATTACACTCTCAGCCGATGGCTGTGTGAATAATATCGAATTCAGAAATTACATTCCGAGACGGGACTTATTTATAGTGACAGGGAATCGACCCTTGACATGGAAATGTATTACAAAGAGATAGAGTCACCCACTAGGCGTAAATAGGGGGTCTGAGGTCGCTACGTTGATCACTGTATCAGCGCTACTTTTCCACCAGAGAGGAACTCGATTATTTTTTAACTGCTGTCAGTTACTTTCATCCAGCTCTAAAATAGATCTGGGAAATTTCTGACACCTCTTTGGCTTCTCTACAAGTCAAAGTTAACAGATGACGATCTATGCATTAGTGGGTGTGCTGCAGACCCACGGAGTCTCATGGTTTTGTCATCTTCAAATCAATTACATGTCAAGAATACCATTCCTTATTCTCAATGTCTTAGGCTTCATTGCCCATACATTGACAGTTCTGATTTCTCAAGATATCAGAGGCAATATGCCAGTTCTTCAAAAACCCGTGGCCATCCTGCCTTTGTCATTCAAGGGAGTCTTTAACAACTGATCGAAAGTCGGCAATCCACAAACGTCACAGTAGGAAGAGAATGATCGTATTCCATATTAGCGGCACAATCACGCAATAAGACTTGTCTTCTAACAAATTTAAATAACTTCAAAATGATCCAAAAACTGGTATATTATTTTTGCGTAAAACGGACAACTGTTTGGTCAGTATAATGTTAAGACTGGCTCTACCGATGTCATCTATTTCATAACTTGCGGTTATTTCAAAAAGTTATACTTCGGCGAAAAGGAAGACGACTAGGGGAACGATTCTGAAGACACCATCGTGACACAAAATACAAGAAAAACAATATCTCTCAAATTGGCCTCCCATTCGTACATTTTATGCCAGTGTTCTTTTTAAGTAAAGGCTTTATACATGAGTTCAAATGATAATTCTTGTGCAAACAAACAAACAAAAGTTCATTTTAAGTCGTATTATGTTTTTCCCCAGTTCAAACAGTAAGCACAGAAGTTTACCTGACAGCGACAATACAGGAGAACTGTAGCAGACGTTCGGAAGTTGCTGCGAAATTTCCAGAAATGGTAAGATAATCTACTTGATCCATACACTGGAGTTTAAGGAATACTGCCATGAGATTTATCATGAAAAGTGAATCTTAATCAATCTGTTCTTGAATCAAATCTTAATATTTCTGTTAAAAAAATAAGTAAAATAAGTACATATGTCCTTTTTAGGCCTGTCAAATTGCCTTCAGGTTTGGCTGCTCATCCGCAAACACTGTGAACACCAGGTAAGGTACAGTTTGTTGTTGTACACTGAAACAACAAATGCAAACTCAAATTTGCCTTCTAGTAGGGGAAAGGAGCTTTATTTCAATCTGTTGTATTTTAGTTGTAAAAGTGTTTTTTTTGCTCTAGCAAATCTTATTTAATACAAGATAATTTATGTTTGAAGTACATTGTCTTTGATATTGTCTTTATTTACCTTGGTTTAATACATTGGTTAAATCTCAATATATTTTAACAATTAAAAATCACCAAAGTTCGAACGTGTGCGATGATACTCTTTGCTCTCTCTCTCCCTCCCCCCCCTTATCTAGGTGTGGCAGTGTTGTTCTTGACTTTATGATGAGGTTCAATCAAACTGTAGTCGTCAGCAATGTTTTGATTTTCCTGTCGGATGCTGCAAGGCAAGACAAATTCAGAGGTTTTAAAGTCAATCCAGACTCAATTAAACAAGTTTTATTACCCACAGATGGCTTGGAAAGCACAGCAAAAGGTCAATTTTACAAAGACATTGTTCAATGTTTACACGTATTCTTCCGAAGATGGACTTTTTATAATTGTATTCCGTATCTATTTAATTAAACAACTTATTCTGTGACTGATACACTTCCAAGTTTTTGTTTTTTCGTTGTTGTTTTATTTAATTCAACAAAGTCTTACTCTTAAAAATTATTTTAGAGAGAGTAGCACCTTACTCTTCCTTCGTACCAACCCAATTAGAGTTAACGTTTTCCGGTCACGAACTTATGCTATGTAGTGAGAGCAGTGTATCGACCAGGATCAGTGTAAATGTTGTTTGAATGTTATTTCATCAAGCTTTGCGAAATGAATCATTTTAGGTCCTGAGGAATGTAACTGCCCATCCAACAACGTCTTGTTGGCCGTAATTGGGGTTCTTGCCTTCACAGTCCTTCTTTTAATTATTTACATAATCTGGCTACATAAGAAAGGTAGGTAAAAAATCATAATCTATGTTTGGCTGCAAGATTCTTTTTCACGCAAAAGCAAATTTTTACTCACGTTTACATCATTTGTATTTTTTCCTTTCGTTCTTTTTCAGGCGCTTTAGGGAAACAGAGGTAAGAATTTTCTGCTAGTTGGATTGTGTCGATGTAATGTGCCCGATATGGTTTCATCTTAACACAAAACTCCAATAAAACTGATGAAATTCTTAGCGTTTTATAATTATTTCTATGCTTTCTCAATTGTAGGACTTATGAAGATGAGAGACGTGTTTACGACGTAAGTAAATGAGAGGGAAAAATTTGTAGTTCTACATAAAAAAAAAGCATATTGCATCAGTGGCAGATACAATGAAATAAAAGAGGAAGTTAGGCTCAATAAGGTCTTTGTCCTGTGATCATGTCCTTTACCAAGCCACTCCATGGATTTTCCTTCGATTGTCCCTGGTTCAACCGCTTGGTTTCACTTCACAGATCGCTAGTTGGTCTGCACCCGGTTGATATTTGCTTTCTAAATAATAGATTTCGTGCATTTAGGGCGTTGTATTTTCTTGATGCCTTATTTTCTAAACGTGAGTTTAGGAGCTTGGTACTGCAAGAGTTGTTTCCTGCGTTTATTTGTCAAAATATTGGACTACCAATCGACAATCTTCACGTTGCAGTTTGTAGCTTCGACGAATATGCTGTGAGCCTCGATCACTCTATTGGACATGATAATTTCAAAAGCAGAGAACAAAATGTTAGTAATAATAATGACAAGAGATTATAAACTATTTATAATCTCTTATCATGGAAGAATATAAACATTTGTCTGATAAAAATGGGTGAACTGATTTTTATAACCATGAGGTACTCTTTACTGGGATTAATAACCTTAACAGTGTGTTGGTTTAATAGAATGAAACATTATTAGAAGATATCGAACCAAGTCTACCTGATTCAAGAAAACTCACCCAGCCTCATGCGGAATACATGGATCTCATAGAAGTCAACAAAGATGATAGAAAAGCACAAAGTACCCCTCCAGGTGCTGATTACGTGCCTCTTCATCCATTAACACGCTGCTGGGAAGTTCCTAGACATAACGTGACCATAGAAAAAATCATTGGTAAAGGTGCTTTTGGTCAGGTTGCCAAGGGAACAGCAGTAGGACTTCGAGGGAGTCCTGAAACGACCACAGTGGCTATTAAGATGCTTAAAAGTGAGCTCTTGTACTGTAAATTGAATGAGTCTTGGCCTACAGACATTCAGGAAATGTTACCGGGTTACTGTAATTATTTAGCTATTTGCCATTTCATAAGTTACGTTGTTATTCCGACATTTCGCATATTATTCCCGTTAACCAAATTTTACTCCTTGTTTTTAATGCTCCAGCAAACGCTTCTGAATCGGACAAGAGAGATCTGATGAAAGAACTTGACACAATGAAACAGCTAAAACCACATCCTTACGTCATTAAACTTCTGGGATGTGTTACTGAATCTGGTATGCTTTGGTTATGCGGGTCTAATTTTGCTGTACACATTTTTCTTATGATTTACTCTGTAACGCTTTCTCGTCATTGATAATTTGCCTCAGTGGAAGGGTGACCGCTTCGTAATTGAGCAAAACAAACAACCATCGCATAAGGTAATTTTATCTTATTTCAGCCAACACAGACGTTCCTGGATTTACTGATAGACTAAGACCGAATATTTGCCACTGAACAGATCATTCTGTTGTAGAAGCAGAAACGCTTTTTGTAAGGGAATAATTGGTCTGTACTTTCTTATGAGACCGTCACATAGTTTTTCTTGTTTTCATGCGATTTCTTCAAAAGTGTTGACCATGACTGGGCTATTCATCTATTTCAATTACTGCTTTTTTTTAAAAGAAAGTAACATATCAATTAAATTATTTAATTTCTTCAGAACAGCTGTTGGTTTTGATTGAATATGTGCCTTTTGGGGATCTGCTGGGTTACCTGAGAAAGAGCCGTGGATTAAAAGACACTTACTACAAAGACCCGGATATCAAACCACAAACAAATCTGACGTCACAGCAGCTGATGAAGTTTGCTTGGCAAATTGCTGATGGAATGAGTTACTTGTCCGCAAAATCTGTAAGTTAGTTAAAAACACAAAAGACAAACAATTCTATCGTCATGTTAAGCTCTGGCATGGAATATTATGTCTTCACATGATCACGCCTGGGAGATGCAGACGTATTCTTACCGTCTTGTCGAGGCTATTTCTTTAGGGCCAGGAACCCTCCCGATTTTGACGTCATCATATAAGTTTTATTTCAATACGAGAATGGCGATATTTGTGCATCATTGCAAGTGTACCCCATCGAAATAAAATATCTGGGTTTTTCTCGTGTGAGCAAAGGCAGAGACGTGAAGGAATAGGATCTTTTAAGATATTCAGCTTAAACTGAGTGTACAACAAATATTCATTTTAGTGACAAGGAAGAAAAGGAATTAAAACTTCAACTTAAAAAAATCGTCTTTGGTCGCTAAACTGCTTCATTACAGAATCCTATTTCGATTAAAATGTTAAGGTAAGCGTTCTTTGAAATGACTACGTATTGCAAAAAAAAAGTAGTTTGCTTCTCTTTGGAATATGGAGCAGTTATTGTAGTAGTTTTAATTTTCTGGTCTGGAAGAAAAAGAAATACACACAGCATATTATGTTGCTAGATATTTCTATTTTCCTCTCTGAACCATTTCATTTCAGTTCTTTTTCATCTACAATCGCTAATTTTTGCGGTTACATCAATTCTTTCTTAGATCATTCACCGAGACCTTGCGGCCCGTAATGTGTTGGTTGGACAAAAGGAAATGTGTAAAGTGACAGACTTCGGAATGGCCAGAGATGTGCAGCAGGAAAATATTTATGAACGAAAGACAAAGGTAATCAAGAAAAAGGGGAGGTGAGGGCGGTATCACATTTCGTTCAGTTTAGTGATCTTTGACATCATTGTTGTGGTTGAGCTGATATATTCCTGATTTCGATCATGAATTCCTTGGGACCCTAATGAAACTATCAGCCATGCGTATACGAGTACAATTTTAAATATCACTATTTCTGACTACTCACTTCCTATAATTCTCGAGCTGTTTCACAAAGTGATATTTAAAATCTTTAGGGCCGTCTTCCCGTGAAGTGGACAGCTTATGAGGCCTTATTGTATGGTAAATATACCACCAAAAGTGACGTGTAAGTATACCTGATTATCAACCGTAGCAATTTATCAACAAGTTTTATCATTTTTAGTCAGGACTTGAATTCTATGCTTTGTCAAAGAATACATATATTTTATTTGTCGTATATACTGTTTATGTCTATAGTCACTTAATTTATATTCGTTTGATTTGTCTTTCTGCAGATGGAGTTATGGAGTTCTGTTATACGAGATTTTCACCATAGGTAACATCGAATGGAATTTTATGAGGCTCTGTTGATGTTTTTTGCTTTATACCATGTTTAATTAAACAATGTATCGTGTTCAGTCAGACAAACGTAATGAGCTTCAAACTACATCTAGTGACAAAGGTGGTGTTTCATTGAAGGTCGTTTTTTTGTCACATTTATATTTCGATGGTCTTGTGGTTCTTCCAGGCGGTTCACCTTACCCACGAATGGATGGAAGAAAAATTGCAAACTTACTCCAGGATGGATACAGGATGCCTAAACCACAACACGTCGATGAAAAATTGTAAGTTTTCTTTATTTGCTTGTTCTCCCTCGTCGTACAAGGAAACATTCTTTAAATCTTTAACAGATTATTTGAATAATACCAGGTATCAGATCATGATGAAATGCTGGAAGAATGACCCAGACACAAGACCAACTTTCACTGAATTGAAAAATCAGCTTAAGGACATGGAAACCCTACACAAGGTCAGAATTTTTATCAATATGAAAGTTTTTTTTTTCACGTAAGACCGACTGGCTTAGGCTTAGCTAATTAGGGTTAAACGTAACAGCATTGAGCCTAAATAGCGTATTAATATGTACTCATCTCTGTACTTTTTATGAAGTCTGGAATGCATCTTTTTGTTATGTTACTGAAGCTAGCACTCCACGAAAAACATCAAAGAAGTGAACTTGAATATCCCAATGACAATTAACACTTGATGGTTATTTAAAAGATCATAGGATGATTGCAAAACTGCATTGAGACGCACAAAGAGTAGCAGACGACGACGTCATAAAATACTTCCTCCTTGAATTTGTTTTGGTGTGAAAACCTCACCACTCATGAGGATAACCACTTAAAACTTTTTTAATGATGCTGATTATTATATTATTTTTCTCTGCAGAAGCTAATTGACATGAAAATGTACGACAAGCAGTTGTATGCAAACGTCGAGGATTTAACGGTGTAGTTAGATACACGTCCACGGTGTATGACTGGCTAACATTTTGAACACTTCGCCTAGACAAGTTTCAGGGATCAATCATCGTTTCCTTACACGCTTACTTGGTAGAAATAGCCATGTTGCGTTTAGCAGTTAGGCTGGAACGTCGTAATACAATGGACTTTATATTCTTAAACGCTGAAACGCTTTGAGTTCAGCCTATTTTCTGGCTCAATTCTGAGGTGAAGATGAGATCTCGCTCTGAAAGCCATAGTTGTGTACAATTTTAATAAATTGCTTAAAACATTTTTGCCGCAAAACCCGCTTGTTTTCAGGAAAGCTAATCGTGCGCATAAATGACTTTCCCCAAGACCGCCTTCACTTGCGATACCAACTCGAAATACTTTTATACGGAATTCTAATCAAAATTGTACTTGGCACATTACTTCTGCAAGAAAGTTTGTTGTTTGGCCTAATAGGCCGGTAGTTTTCGCGTACTAGATACTATTACTCAACGAAACTGGTTGTAGGTACGGGTTGAAGTCTTTTTTTCTTGGATACGTTGCTAATGTAATAACTTTAATTTTTTTTTCATAATAAAAGTGTTGAAAAGTTCTGAGTTGACTCTGTCTGCATGATGATGCTGTACACGAGTTCACATCTTTCTCTCCACGACATTGATCTAATCAATCTTGACCCATCTCTCTAGATCTCTCCTTTGAAGGAAGGACAAAACCAAACCAAAGTAACAGAGCTTCCCGAAGTGCAAAAAATCGCTTGTACGTGTTTCAGGAGACTTACATCCAAGAGACCATGTTCTCCTGTCACTCTCGGTAGAGGTTAAGTTAAAAGTCCATCAATCTTACATAATTATAAACTAGGTTACCTTTTGGTCAAAACCTTTCTTTCCTCAGCTGATATAAATAATTGCACTAGAAACAGTACCTAATATTAAAATAACCCCTTTAGTCTGGAGTAGATTATACCTGAGGGATAGTCTTAACATTCAAATGAAGGAGAGTTTAGCGTCTGTTTGGAAATATTCCCTAACGTTATTTTGTTTCTGAGGGCAAAATGATACTTCAGCATACAGAGGAGTGGGGGTGAAATGGAGGGGGGAAGGGGGGATGGTCGTAGCTTTGCAAAATGAATTCACCGAAATTTTTATATATAATTTTTTTTGAAGGTTTTATGCCGAGAAGAAAATGAGTTTTATCCTAACATTTCTGCAAATGTCGAACTATGTCAAATTTTCTATTCTAAACGACATCACGAGTCCACCCCTGATGCAAAGATTGTGTCATTGGTGAGCTAAGTTGTAGCCTGTAGTGGGATAAGGAAAGTTTACTAAGGATAATTACTGTACTGCTTTTAGGAGTCGCTCCTTGGTAAGAATATTACACGTTGTTTGATAAGGTAGTTGGGTTTGTAGGAGTATCATAAGTGTTCTTTCTGTCGGTTAAATCATACCTTAACAGCTGTGTTCAGCAGTTAATAACTGATATTCTCTTACAAAATATCCAATCACAACGAGAACCCTATCCTCTTCTCTTGCACTTTGATAGGGGTTTACGCTGCTAGTCTTGAGTCACTTAGATTGCGGTTCTCCCGAGATAGGACATAATCAACTAACAAAATAATTAGTAACCGTTGCAGCTATCAAATGGTTGGCATTCAGCTTTACATAGAGACAGAAACTATCAAACGGCCTTTTAGTCCAAACTGATTTGAGGTCTACTCTGATTTCGCTTTACAATTCATTCTGCTTTCTATCGAGAAAGAACGTCATAAAATTGTGGCCGATTATCTACAACGATTTCTGAGAAGAATTTCATTATTTCGTTTTTGATCATCAGTTTTACAAACCCAAAAGGTCTACACCAGTGCCTTTTATTAAATGACTCTGTTTCACTTGTGTTACGTAGTCAAGTGTGCAGAAAGTTTACGTAGACATTATACATACAATATTCCTACATATTCCTTTAATTTTCATTTTCCTCCACCGCGAGATGCTTTCTCCGACCAGCGGTCCGAGTCTGTTGGTCATCAATACCATACATTCGTCAAACACGGTGGTTATTCCTTCCACCACATTTTTCGCTGAAACGACAGCTAGTTCTAAAATCGAAACATGAAAAGAGATGCGACTAAACGATGTCGCACTGAATTATTGGACCTCCCGCCAAGCTCAAAGGATAAAACCCTTAATTTCATTGATACTGAGAGGTCGCGTACATGCTCTTCTTTAAACTCAAAGGGTGCTGGTGATTTTTCTTTTTTCAAATCATGAAAAATCATTCTTGAATCCTCATTCCTAACAGTGTAGCACATGCTATGTGTATGCTTGACATGTCATTTATAAATCAGTATCAGCATGACCATGCATACTAACGTAAACAATGGAACAGAAAGTGATGTTTTGGAGGGATGTTACTAAAAAACGATAAACGATGAACGAGGAGGGAAAAACGGAGAGCGGATTAGAGTAATCTGCTAAGATGATAAATTAAGTTGTTACTGAAGCGTTTTGACTTGAAATTTGACTTCAAAAGTTTAGTTTCAAGACGATAGAAATTGCAGGTGAGCTAGAAATCGGGTATTTGCATTTATTGGAGTATCAATCGTTCCGCCATTTATCCTTTCTAAAAGCGCCTAAATGAAGTGATTTTTTAATCTGGAGAACTCAAACAAAGACGCGAACAAAAATTAAATCACTTTTGGCTTGCTATTACATCAGGCGATCAAGCGGGAAGCCTTTGTTTTGCCATAGTGTCTTGAACTAAACGGCACACACTAAAGATGCGTACAAAGTGCTAAGAAAAGGATCTCCCGACTTCCGACCACATTTCGCGTAACAAAAAAGTCTCTTCTTTTTCATTCTGATATGCTGCTTTTGGTGTTACACACGGCAGAAGTTCAAAAGAAATCTTTGAATACGTCTTTCTTAATCAAATATAACGAGAAGTGTGTGGGTCACAGTGGCGGAAAATGAAGAAAAAAGCTAACCCTAACCCTTAGCAAAGCAGAAAACAAACAAACAAGGACAATGATTTTATCTACTCACTTTGCCTCTACTTCTCAGTGAGTCAACAATATTGAACACAAAAACTTCTGTGCACTGTAATCTAAATAATTTAGGTTTAAAAGTGAATAACAGCTGAAAGTCTTTTAAGGCTTACCTTTCGTCGTGAACGCCGCTGGTCACGTACACGTCGAGGAGTCCACAAACTTCTTGAAAGCTGCTATCTGTCTATATAATATACTATATACTGAAAGCGGAGCTCTAGTTAGGTTATTTTCCAGCCCTTCATTATACTGAATGAAAACTGTAATAGAACTCTTCAGCACTGACTTTAGAAGAGTTTCTTCAAGGGGATTTAGAGACCAGGGCCCAGTTGTTCGGAGGCGGATTAGTGCTAACACAGGGTTAAATTTTAATCTGGATTTCTTTACTCCTTTGTTCGAAAGCCTTTTTGGGGTCATTCCTCTATTCTATGACGAGTATCCAATCATCAAATTCTTATCAAAAAGAAAAGAATGGGGAGGGGAAGAACAATTGACGAAGTCTGGAACTTGGGGACGATCGATGCTCTCACAACTTGCAAGGCGATCAACACGCATGCTAGTCAGCGGTATCTTTAAACAGCCTGGGATCCTAGATAGAGAATGTTTTCTTCTTCAGATGAAGTGTATGATGTCAGGATCATTTACAATTATATTCTATTGAACGTGACTTATAATTGCAGTTTGGAAAATTGAGCCTTAATAACTTTCATGCGTTAAAATACAAACAATTTTCTCTTCATCTATGTGCCCTAAACATTACAGGAGAGGAGGCAGGTCAAAGTAAAAACATGAATTAAAAAAGGAGGGCCCCCATTAATTTCAGTCCAAATTAAAGGAGGATCCTTGCCTTTCCAGATTCTTGCCCTTTAAAACTCCCGTATCTTGAAACCAATTCCGTGTTTCAAAGTTTCGTTTAGGTATAAGCATTGATAAGAAATACCATGCATTAATGAAAGCTTGTGGTAACTTCCACAGCGAAATTATATAATCACACAATTCCAGACAAAGGAAGTCAGGTTATTGACTCACCTGTTTCAACTTTGAGGGATTAACGTACAGAGAAATAGATATGGCAAACAGTTGCAATTAATACAAAGTTGAAAGTTTTAAAGCTAAAAGATATACATCACAGTCATTACACCCTATGCATCCTAGCAAAGAAAGGGTCAATTACCACCATAACTTCTCCCTAACCTTAATGCTTACAGGAAATCATCGGTCCTCGGTCCTCGGTCCTCGGTCCTCGGTCCTCGGTCCTCGGTCCTCGGTCTTCTGTCCTCGGTCCTCGGTCTTCTGTCCTCGGTCTTCCGTCCTCGGTCTTCCGTCCTCGGTCTTCGGTCCTCGGTCTTCCGTCCTCGGTCTTCCGTCCTCGGTCTTCCGTCCTCGGTCTTCCGTCCTCGGTCTTCCGTCCTCGGTCTTCCGTCTTCGGTCTTCCGTCTTCGGTCTTCCGTCTTCGGTTTTCGGTCTTCGGTTTTTGATCTTCGGTCTTCGGTTTGGAGACACCCACTTCGGTCGACAAGTTCACGAAGCGTGATCGTGACACTCGGTCCCAGTCTCAAAACGAAGATGGGCCTCCTCTTCTATCCCTACAAGGGACTTCCGTAAGATTTAGGCACAACCTTCCTCATTGAAGCATCAGCGAGGGTCTGATAAGATGGTGTCTTTCCGTGATTATGATATTTACGTACTCTTTCTTCTGCTGGTAAAGTTTCACGGGTCAGGTACGTGTGAAATTTATTCTCCCGTACAAAGGATTTTACTGTTTTTAATTCGTGAATTGCGCGCATGCGCAAGAGCGAGTTATAGATACGATGTGGGGAATGGCATTCGCTCGCTCGCTCGCTCGCTCGCTCGATTGGTCGATTCCTGTAAACTTTTTTTAGATTTTAGGCTTTTGAGTGCATTTGATAGTTTTTGGCGAGCAATAAACAGACGAAATGGCGACCTTTGTTGCTAAGAATAGTGGTGGGATGAAAAAGAAGCCAACTATCTTAAAAGAGTTTTTTTTTTTCGTTTTAGTTTCAACAAGCGGCGCCAGCGACTAGCAGGCATGCAAGGATTCACACTGAAATAACAGAACAACCTTCGTTTTTCATAAAATTGTAATTTACAATCCTTGAAATTGAAAACAATCCGAAGATTCATTGAAAATATCACTTACTGCGAAGCGCTCGGAGTTTACAGATGTTCAAAAGCTTTTTCTGTTATAGCGTGAGATTGAGGACAAAATTGATCATTACGTTTCGTCGCGTGTGTTTTTCCTGTGTGAAGCAACAAAAGATGCCGGCGACTGACGAAATAACAAGTCAACACGAAAATCAAATAACACCTAAACAAACAATTTTCGCTACCGATTTTCGGTGAATTTTTAAAGAACAATTTTCTTTTAAGTTTCAAGACAATTTGAAGATTCAACATACATACAACGTACTAAAATGCGAAAGTTACACACCACAAAATTGGTAAATAGGCCTGAAATGAAATTCTATCTTGTTATTGATTATACGTTGCCTAGCACGTGACTTAAATCTACCCAGGCGGAGATCCAAAATGACGGTGGCAGGCTTGGCTTAGTTATATTACTCAAAACTCGGGTCGTTTGTCTCATTTGATAAAGAGGGAATCGTTAATGTTTTCATTAAGACAGTATTGCCTTGATTTTCTAATATTTACAACGAAAGACAGTAAATCTCACTTTTCACCCACATTTACTTCCAACCTTTTCTTTTGAACCAGAAACAAAAATGATAGACGTTTAAAACACATGACATCATCCACCTTGTCAAATGTAATAGCATGATCATTTCAATTGTAATGCCTTCTTATCCCAACGTTACTTTGTTTCTTTGCTACATTAGCGAACACTGAACTACTGCTCGTACTCTAGATATGACAATCAACCTCAAAATTCCCTAAACCAGATAACATTAAACATAATCTAAAAAATCATGTGTCAATTCACGAGTTTGCTCACAGAGCACTTTGATTTTACCGTGTACCATTTTAAGCTTAGACACCAAAAACGCCGACCCTTTCTTTCTGACCGTGATGTTTGTCAAAATGATTTCCGAACTCCAAGGTGGCTTTTAGCAGTTTTTGTATTTCAAATTTAAGATATGTTGTTGGGGTTTCAATCCCGCGATAAATAAGGTCTGAATAATCATGATGCGATAGAAATCAAGAGCAAAGGATTTTATGCTTCAAGTGTAACAATACCATACGTTCAGAATATAACATCAAAATTGAAACTGAGAGATGCACTATATTCTTGACAAGTGTGAGTCGTATTCTTAGCCATGAGAAAAGTTACTGCTGGTGGCTCTCCACTACAAACATGATGGCTATGCAAACCCAGGAAAGAGTCGCCATCTGTACCTAAACTCTCTTCCTTGCCATCCATCACTCATCATTGAGAAGAGCTGTTAAAAATTTTTCCACTCATTATTGGTTCAAAGAATTACCTCAGCTGCTAGCTAATATAAGTTGAGTGTGAGTTTTCCTCCAGGCAGCAATCTTGTAAAGAAACGAAATAATGCACTTGGATGGATAATTGAGCATTATTTGCTCATTTACCTTCATGTATGATATGTCTACTGACTTGACCAGTTTTTAGCGTTATGCACATATGTTTGTGGTATCCCACACCGGTAGTCTTGGGCTACATATTTTTGTTATATATTTAGAAAAAGGTAAGTTTTACTAGGACCAAAATTTTTGAAATGCATGTGTATACATGTGGGCTTATAATATACACCCTGAGATTTACTCCAAGCTAAATTTGGAAAAAAAATTGATTTGTAATAGACATAAAGGTTGGATGGTTTTTCTCACAAATGAGAAATGAGCATCTGACCAATCACAAGTTGAAGGTGAAATGTTAAATGACCAGTAAAAACAATAACATGGCTTTTTTACCCTTGTGTTGTGGGGGCTTGCCAAAGTGAATGAAAGTGAATGTCAGCAATGTTTGCTGGTTGCATATAACTGTAGAATTATGACTTTAAGGTTAAAAACAAGAAGTCAGTGGTTTGTGTAAACGATTTAAATTAATTAAAGAAGATAATGTCAGAGAAAACTGGATTTCATAAAAATTGGTGAAAAAAAGACTTAAATTTCCAGAATCTGACTCTGATAAGGAAGCATTATGGTCCATCTTTGTCATTTCATTTGTGCCTATCTGAATGACCAAAAATTTATGTTTCGGATTGGTACTAAAATTCCCATGGTATTAACAAACACTTTTCAATCATTTGATTTATTCCTCGTTTTTGTCCTTACTTTGTTCCCAGTAGTAACCGTAAATGTCACTCCATTTTCTGCATATAAAGCACACACAACCCACAATTCCTTACATTACTTAAAGTTTGCATGTACAATTTTCATAGACAAAAACTTGTAGGTTGCTCAGATAAGACCATACAACTTTTCAAATGTAATGCATAGTTACACTTATTGTTGTTACTGCTTACACTAAAAGTGCCTCTGTGGTGGACTCTATTTAAGCCCTTTCTCCTAAATATTATCCTTACACTTGTAATTAAAGGGCTGAGAATATTATGTTTATTGTTGTCTATTTTATAGGGGCTGTGGATGTGCGTTTCACCCAGGAGCCTACTAATCCAAGCTACTTCAACAATGGCAGTGACGCCAAGCTGGTGTGGGACTACACTGATCCACAAAATAAGATTCAGTACATTATCTATAGTGTTCTGGTAGATGGTAAATTTGTGAGAATGATGGTTAATGACAGTTATGGTGTCCAAGAACATCCTGTCATTCCTCCATCTTACAAAGGAAGAGTGAAAATTGAAGGAAGAGCTACCCTGGTTATCAAGGACATCAAACCTGGAGACAATAACGAATTTGAATGTGGAATGTGGGGAAGCTTTTCAGGGAGTGTTAAAAGTACAGTTCAGCTTATTGTGGCAGGTATGCATTAAAGACATAACCACTGATAATCAAACATAGATCAAATTTATTCAACTCATGTCTCATATTTTCATATGCAAGGCTGAAAGTGGCTAGCTAACCCAACTTTTGGGAACAATAGAGCTACTTTTACTTGGCATGCAACGTTCCAGAAAAGGAGAAAATAAATTCTACTGTTTACTTTGTTGTAATTCTCATCTGAGAGAAATCATAGAGTTATTGCTTTATTCTCCTGGCACCAACTACTGGGTTGCTCTGTGATGCATAGATGATTGTTATTAATATGAATATTGAGATTTTCTCTCAGCAAAGCTGTCAATTAAAAATGGTCAGTCAAAACTAGAAACAATCTCGCTGGTTCTATGATTTTGCTAAATCAGTGAAGGACAATATTGCATGACCAATCACAAACAGCATGTGAAATTAATTTGGAGTGAAAAAACTGGCATTGCTTTTCAAGCCTTTTAAAGGGAATGAAAGTCGGCATTACACCTTTGGCTGCTTTCTGAGGATTGTGATCTTCAAGGTTTACAGATGTAAATTTAGTCAACAGAACAGTGACTTCCTCAAGTAAGTTCTGAGACCAAGGAGCCCGTCAATACCTGGATTTGATTTGTACAATGGAGCAAAATTTTTTTAAAGTTATGGAAGCAATAAACCAACAAAGTCTATAATCCAAGCTCTTTATGCTCTTTTAAAGACGTTGAGCATGTAAACAGAAAATAATTCAATGATGATCAACTTGGCCAGGTAGGAATCCTGTTCTGAGAAAATGCAGTTATCATTCAACAGCTGTAATTTTATTGCTGACTTTGGTTGCTCCACTGAGAAACTGGCTGAGTTCTGCAAAGAGCTCCAAGGGACTAAAAGTATTCAATTTCAATTTAGAGTATGAAACATTTTTGAGCTCATGCAACCTAAACTTTTCAAAAACTTTTCATGTATAAAACGGAAGCGTATTGTTCTTTGAAAGACTTTTTAATCTTCTATCTGAGTGTTTAAACTTTCATTTTCCAACACAGTATCTTGGATGTCCTAACAACCTTAAGTACATGAAACAATTGTGATATTAAGACTCAGTGTGTAACTTGTTGGTCATTTAACTGTGATTCAAAGTTGAAAACATTTGTGATATTTCAATACTCATGTACAATTTATTTCATTGTTTGCTTGAACGATTTTATTCACTTGTTGTGAAGAATCCAAACTCACTGTTTACTATATTGTATAATAAAGTTCACATGGTAACCAGGTGGACAATCAGACATAGTTTGATGCTACTCGGGTTTAAAGATTTAATGAATGTAACCGAAGAAGTTACAATTCATAGACCCAACGTTTCGACACTCCTGCCTTGTGCCTTCATCAGGGGTGATTAGCAAACGCTACAACAAGATGTCCTTTAATACGATCGCTAACTAGCTGCCTTTTTTCTAACGAGGAGTAAATGGGCGTCAGGAAGTAAGCCGCCATTATCACAATTTAAAGGAGCGTGGGTGGAGTTAATTTGCCAGGCTTCCAAACAAAGGCGCTGGTGGTAACGCCGACTAGGGGTGATAATTTAAGACTTATCCCACCCAATTGTATCGTTAGTTAGGCAAGAGTGCTCCGACATTGTAATCAGTCAAAAATTCCTGCGAATTTGCGGATTTCATGAGAGATAAAACTCTTAACGCCTGGGAAGAATTAGTATCTTTCGACGTTGTTTCGCCCTTCGCTAAAATCCCAGGTGATCTTGCCGTTAAGGATGCGGAGGAGAGGCTAAGAGAAGATGCTTCCCCAGGACAAAGAACTTTATGTCAGTGAAGGATATTATTCATATGCTGTCTTTTTGCCTCAAAACCACGCAATTTGCATACAACGGCACCCACTATCAACAGGTTTTTGGTACAGCTATGGGTTCGCCCGTCTCTGTTGTCATTGCCAACATGGTAATAGAAGACGTGGAACAAAAGGCCTTAGCTAATTCACCGGTTAAACCCTTTTTCTGGAAATTAAACGATATGTCGATGATGTTATTTCTACGGTATCCGGAAATGAAGCGGAGCGCTTCCTATCGCATTTGAATTAGGTAGAGCCGTCTATCCAATTCACCCTTGAGCGTGAAAAGGATAGACATCTGCCCTTTCTTGATTTAAATGTGTCCAGAGGGGAACAGGGGAATTTAGAGAAAAGTGTCTATCGTAAACCTGCCCACACCGACAAATACCTCGCTTTCGATTCTCACCAGCCTATTTTCCATAAAAAGTCTGCAGCCAAAACTTTACTCAGGAGGGCTAATTGTCTACCATCTTCACTCGATTCGAAGGCTGAGGGAGAAAATATGTTTCTAATGTCCTAAAGGCGAATGGCAATACAAAAACGTTTCTCCGTAACTGCCAAGAACCAGTTACAACTAGTAGCACTCCTGATGAAAGAGAACCAGCGACTGGTTTTGCCATTATTCCTTACATTCAGGGTGTTACGGAACCCATCAAGAGAATTTTGAATAGCCACAACGTTAAAGTTGCTCAAAAACCTTTTCAACGAACAGACGCCGTTTATTCTATTCCTTGCAATGACTGTGACAACGAATACATCGGATAGACCAAAGTCAGTTTGGCACACGTTTGAAGGAGCATCAAAAAGCGGTTTCTTTTGCAAAGAATAAAAATTTATCGTGATAATGGCGGCTTACTTCCTGACGCCCATTTACACCTCGTCGGAAAAAAAAACCAGCGAATTAGCGATCGTATTAAAGAACATCTTGTTGCAGCGTTTAGATCACCCCTGATGAAGGCACTGGACAGGAGTGTCGAAACGTTGGGTCTATGAATTGTAACTTCTTCGGTTACATTCATTAAATCTTTAAACCAGAGTAGCTTCAAGTCATGTCTCTCTGCTTACTGTTTTTGATCGTCTATGACTAGTGAATACAATTTGTCATCTCTTTCATGTCTTTTATCTCCACCAAAATGCTGGTTGTCGTTGACGTGTAGATTGCGTTTGGACAAAAGTTGTGACATAAAGAATGGAGTCTATTATGTAACGAGATAAACTATTGTTGTGGAGAAGTGTGTTTTAGTGAATTTTATTCTCGTTTGACCGGTTTGACAGCTCTTCATTCCATAGTTTTCTCCCGTCTGCTAACCTCGTATCCAAGATGTCCCGTGCGCTGTCAATAGTTTTGCAAGTTTTGACTTAGTGTGTTCATCATAATCCTTTTGGCATTGATTTTCGAAAAAAATTTCATCTTTATCTTACTATATTTCATCTTCAAGTGATTAAATACCTTTTTCCAAGTAGCATAGGGTCTTCCATGTTTAGCCATGTAGGACACTTAAATTTGGCTTACATCCTAAGGTTTCTGTTATTTTACGGCTGATGTTATCGATGACATTGATGAGGCTAATGCTCCCACGGTTTTTGCGATTGGAAGACAGCTAAGCACTATTTTGTTCCTTTTGATAGGCGGCACATTTTATCACAATTTGGAGGAAATCTGCCTTCTTCTGGTCTCCCAGTTTCCTAGTTGATAAGAGTTGATGATTTTTCTTGATTGGGTTCAGACTTCTACTTTAAGTGGCATTTTGAACAAATTCACTTTGTGTAAATGTACTTTAACCATAGCTGCGTTTACATAGAAATACCAGTAGAGTGCGGCGATGACTCAGCGTAATCTTGGTGGAGGTCTGGTATATGTTTTGCGCTAGACAATTCTGCGCCTACTTACGAGATGGCAGGTTAATAACAAATGGGCACAGAGAGAAAAATTACATATTTTATTTGTACAATATTTTCTTCAAAGTTTCAGATCAGCAATTGTAAATGTGCAGATATTATTCTATAGATATTAGACAGATCAATAGCGATTTCCTAAAATTTTTGACAATAAAAATGAACGGTAGAAGACGACGTTTCGATCAAACTTCGGTCATTTTCAAGTGAATAGTAAGAATGTCACGATGAAAATATATATGCGTGTAAGAAGTAGAAAATTTTTTGGAAGTGTAAACGGACAATAAGAACATGCAAAGAGAAGAAATAATTAAGCTAATTGAAAACCAAATTAAATTTAAAAATTAAAATTAAAATCCTAATTAAAAACCTTTGCACGAATTAAGTCCGACTGTACATTGAAAGCAGGGTTAAGTTCTTGAATAAAAAACATTTCATAAATTAGGTAGTCAAATTTGTTCGCATTCTTCTTTAAAAGACTAAAATTCTTCGTAAGATCCCTTGGGGCCAAATAATGCTTGTTGCGAAAATGCTTGTTAATCGATGGAGTCGATTTTCTGTGTTATTGAACATGTTTATGCAGATGGCAGCGTGTAAAACCAACATAACCTGCATCGTACAGGTCACATTTAAATTTGTAAACAACGGTCGAGTGGCAACAGACGGGTATGCTATGAGCTCCCCCTTGATCCTCTATTAGCCATTTTTTTTTTAAGTGCAGCATCGAGGATACCCATAACATCGATAAAACTGACGTCTATATAACGCGCGTTGTTTAGGAATCATTGATTAATCCCGTTTGTCTTTGAGGTCGTGTGACCTGTAATTTGTGCAAAATTACATATGCTGCCCGTTTTAGGAAAGATTTCTTTTAGTTTTTTGCTTAGTCATTAGTACTACAGTACTAACGGTGTTCACCAGTACTACAGTACTATCAGTACGTATGCTAACTGTGTCACTAGTGTACCAACGTACTAGCGTACTAACTCCACTTTTCCAATGAATGAACTGCTTCGTTATGTACTAGCGTTCGATTAATGGACTGCATGTCACTAGCGTACCAACGTACTAGCGTACTAACTACACTTCTCGAACAAGCATGAATGACTTGCGTACCAACGTACAAGGGTTCGATTAAAGAACTGCATGTCTCGTGTGTACCAACGTACTAGCGTACTAACTCCACTTCTGCGACAACCATGACTGATCTACGTCCTTGTGTACAAGCGCTCGATCAGAGGACCGCATTTCACTAACGTACCAACGTACTAGCGTACTAACTACACTTCTCGAACAAGCATGAATGACTTGCGTACCAACATACTAGGGTCGATTAAAGGACTGCATATCTCTTGTGTACCAACGTACTGTAGTACTTGGTACGGACAACTCATCATGGCTTGTTTATTTCTTAGTACGTTAGTACTGTAGTACTCGGTAAGGTCAACTCATCACAGCTTGTTTATTTCTTAGAACGTTAGTACTGTAGTAATCGGTACGGACAACTCACCACGGCTTGTTTATTTCTTAGTACGTTAGTACTGTAGTATTCGGAACGGAAAACTCATCACGGCTTGTTTATTTCTTAGTACTGTAGTACTCGGTACGGTCAACTCATCACGCCTTGTTTATTTCTTAGTACGTTAGTACTCTAGTACTCGGTACAGACACTCATCACGGCTTGTTTATTTCTTAGTACGTTAGTACTGTAGTACTCGGTACAGACACTCATCACGGCTTGTTTATTTCTTAGTACGTTAGTACCGTAGTACTCGGTACGGACAACTCATCACGGCTTGTTTATTTCTTAGTACGTTAGTACCTTAGTACTCGGTACGGACAACTCATCACGGCTTGTTTATTTCTTAGTACGTTAGTATCGTAGTACTCAGTACGGACAACTCATCACGGCTTGTTTATTTCTTAGTACGTTAGTACCGTAGTACTCGGTACGGACAACTCATCACGGCTTGTTTATTTCTTAGTACGTTAGTACTGTAGTACTCGGTACGGACAAATCATCACGGCTTGTTTATTTCTTAGTACGTTAGTACCTTAGTACTCGGTACGGACAACTCATCACGGCTTGTTTATTTCTTGGTACGTTAGTACTGTAGTACTCGTTACGAACAACTCACCACGCCTTGTTTATTTCTTAGCACGTTAGTACTGTAGTACTCGGTACGGAAAACTCATCACGGCTTGTTTATTTCCTTAGTACTTTAGTACCGTAATACTCGGTACGGAAAACTCATCACGGCTTGTTTATTTCTTAGTACGTTAGTACCTTAGTACTCGGTACGGACAACTCATCACGGCTTGTTTATTTCTTAGTACGTTAGTACTGTAGTACTCGGTACGGACAACTCATCACGGCTTGTTTATTTCTTAGTACGTTAGTACTGTAGTACTCGGTACGGACAACTCATCACGGCTTGTTTATTTGCTTAGTACGTTAGTACTGTAGTATTCGGTACGGACAACTCATCACGGCTTGTTTTATTTGCTTAGTACGTTAGTACTGTGGTACTCGGTACGGACAACTCGTTACGGTGTGTTTTATTTGCTTAGTACGTTAGTACTGTGGTACTCGGTACGGACAACTCGTTACGGCGTGTTCTTCACCTGTTTAGTGCCTTAGTACGTTAGTACCTTAGTACTCGGTACTGATACTCACCACAGCATGTTTATTTCTTAGTACGTTAGTACCGTAGTACTCGGTACAGACACTCACAACGGCATGTTTATTTGTTAGTACGTTAGTACTGTAGTACTAGGTACGGACAACTCATCACGGCTTGTTTTATTTGCTTAGTACGTTAGTACTGTGGTACTCGGTACGGACAACTCGTTACGGCGTGTTCTTCACCTGTTTAGTGCCTTAGTACGTTAGTACCTTAGTACTCGGTACAGATACTCACCACGGCATGTTTATTTCTTAGTACGTTAGTACCGTAGTACTCGGTACAGACACTCACCACGGCTTGTTTATTTCTTAGTACGTTAGTACTGTAGTACTCGGTACGGACAACTCATCACGGGTGTTTATTTCTTAGTACGTTAGTACTAGAGTACTCGGTACGGACAACTCATCACGGCTTGTTCTTCATTTGTTTAGTGCCTTAGTACGTTAATACCTTAGTACTCGGTACAGACACTCACCACGACATGTTTTTTTGCTTAGTACGTTAGTACTGTAGTACTAGGTACGGACAACTCATCACGGCTTGTTCTTCATTTGTTTAGTGCCTTAGTACGTTAGTGCCTAAGTACTCGGTACAGACGCTCACCACGGGTAACGTTTTCGGGCTTATAATGGGCAAGAATAATACAAGAATAAACAAGCAAAATAAATAAGTCTGATCAAACCAGCTTAATTCTTATAGTACCTTAATCATCCGTACTAAGCAAAAAAACTAGAAAAATGATTCCTATATACAAAATAATCATTCCGCCGATACCTGTCCTATAGAAACGGAACACATCACTGTGTTCATCTCGAAATTTGAACATCGTCTATCGGTTGTGAGAATGGCTTTAACTGTCAGCGATTTAAAGCTTTTGATTTTTAAGGTTGAAACTGAATACAAAATGTTACGCGCGACATTTCAGGAAATGCTGCCTTCATAAGAGCAGTTTTGCTTCGTTCGTACTTTACTCATGCATAGCATTATGTGATAATGATAATGATCGTCATGACAAATTTTAACAGATGCTCGTTCTTGTTTACTTCTGTTCCTCGATAAGAGTGTTGATAATGAGCGGAGTTATGAGCAATTCTGTTGGCAATCCAGATTCACACTTAAGATTCAAGAAAACAGAGCGAATCAAATCGTTCGAACAGTAGCGGCAGTCTTGTCAACTTGTGAACAAATATGTTTTTTAGCTTAACGTTAACCGCAAACAGCTGAATGGAATCTTATTTTCTTCACTTAATAATAATAATAATAATGACTTTATTGAATAACACAATTACTGGTAAAACCAGTAGTACTCATTGTGGTCCTCTAAAACTTCAAATAGCAAAAATACGAAGTAAAAATACAGTTAAAAATGAAAAATTTATTAAAAATTTCTGCTTATAGTAAAGTTATCAACTCTGGAGTTCCGATATATATATTTCTTGTATAGTTGATTTTTAAATTTACAAAGGGAAGTGAGACCCCTAGTGGCACTGTCTTGGTTGTTCCATAATCTAGTGCCACTTGCAAGAAATGAACGTTTGCTGGTCATGGTGCTAAAGAAAGGTGTGGATAAGTTCATTTTAGTTGACGCCCGAGTTGTGTAATGATGTCTATTTTTAACATAACGAATATAATGATTAATTATGGTAAATATATCCTATGGATAATGTTATGCATAATACACAATTTCTTTTGCTCTATTATGTCACTAATGGGAATCCAACCTAATATCTTAAAAAGGCCAACTGTTCTTTCAGTGCCTGCATTTAAAATTACTCTGGCACAACGTTTTTGAATTCCTAGGAGCCTTTGTAAATTATCAGTCTTAGTGTTTCCCCACACTGATCAACAATATTCAAAGATTGGTTTAATTAAAGCGTTGTATAGCAAATTCCTAAGTGATAAATTCAGGTACTTTCTGGCTTGAAGAAGATTTACCCTAGAATTTAATTTAGTGATCTATGACCCTAAAATTATCCTGGTAAAACTTTAGGAAAATGGCTCCAGTAAACTACAGATAACTTCACATGACTTTACTGATGAATGAATGGATACGATTCAACTTTTGCTGCTAGTTGCTAGCCGTAAACTTTTACGAAAACGACTTTATTGAGCCTGATATTTTCTGAGCTTGCTCGCTCTCTAAGGAAGTACCCAGCAGGTCAAAACCTTTTTTTTTCTCTTTACAATGCAGGCAGGCCATTTCAAAAATAAACTGACGCCAAACGCTTTCGGACAAAACCACGTCATGTCACTAACATAGAATCCTTCCTTTGTTATAAATAAAACACACCATTCAACGTTAAACAAAAGATTGCTTCATAAATATTAATGAGCTCCTTTCGCGCACGTTTTTTTGCGTGCGTTTGAAAAAATTGCACGTGTGTGCATGGGTTTTTTAACTCACTTTTCGCGTGAATTTAGGGTCAAGTACCTCTGACCTGTACTGTAATGCCCGCAACAGATTGAGTATGTGTTTAATTTGCTGAGTGATAACCTCTCTGTTGGGAACTTGCAAAACTTTTAATAATACTAGTTTTAGTACAAATTGTTAATAGTGGTCTCCATACAGTCCATTCTTAATGCAGGGAAGTAATTTGTTTTCTTGGCGTTTGACTTGGGCTTAAGAACGTTTTATTTGTGAGTATAATATTTCAACATGTGGAGAAAGAGTCAAAAACTCTCCATTCTGCAAACTCCCTTTGTAGAACAATCATGATGAGCAATCAAGTTATGTAATGTTTGATAAAAGTTCACCTTTTAACTTTAGGTAATGGCAAGCAGCATTCAGCATGCCACTGGTGTATTCTTTTTTATCCCAAATAATTCATGGTTTCTCTTTCATCAAAATTTCAATTCTCTGGGTTGGGGATGCTATAGTAGATCCTCTTTCAGGCTAAGTTCCAAGTGAGGTGTGGCTTGATTGGCTCTGTTCCTATTTGTTTGTGCAGCAGCAAAAGTTTTAACTTTCAATAAAAGTTTTATCAAGAAAATTGGGAGTAGCTTTAAAGCCGGGGTCCTTAGTTTAATGAGTGACTTCCTGAATTATCCCTTAATTCCCTAGGTTGGTTGTTGGAGACCAATTGCTGGATACTTTTGATTATTTTATTGTAACTGGGTAAATTTTAGGACTCAGTCCAAGTAAGATTTGCTACACCATATGTGGAATGATATAATTTCTTTTACCTTTCAGAGGCATTACTTATAAACCTCTCTTTAGGAGGAAAATATTTCATTGAAGGATCCAATGCCACCATAACCTGTAAAGCTTCTGGGAAACCACCACCATATGTAGCATGGATTAAAAATGGAGTATGGAAAAGTTCAGGGAAGGAAGCTGCATCTTTGGAGTTCAATAATATAAACAGAACAGATGCAGGAAAATATACATGTCAAGCAAATAACTCAATGGAAGTCACCTCCATTAACACAACAATTGTAGTTCACTGTAAGTATATTTTAACCTTAATTTTCTATATCTGAATTTAATTAAAGTTTACAGTGCGACTCCTGTTATTAGGGTCAGTTACACAAAACTGACGAATCTGTCCAAAAGTGCAAGAAAACTGAATTCCACATCAAATCCTTTTTGGCTTTGTATGCATTGGTCCTAAGTACTGGTTGGGACACTTGAATTTCAGTGGAATAATTACTCACATTATTTTGCTTAGGAGGACATGAAAATGTTTTTACCAAGTTGTTGCTTCAGTTGGATTGTGTTAAACTCAGAAAATGGCTTAAGGCCATTTCTGAGTCATTGTGACAACCCAAAATTCACTCCATTTGACTATAGTGCACAAGGCTAGTGCAAAGCGCCTTGGTTGAAGCTAGATGGAAATCTGAGAACTGGCCAAAATTCCAAGTGTCAGCTGATAAATTGCACATTTCAGTGTTTTACTGATAGCTGAGATAAGTAGATAAAAGCAAAAAAGTGGCTAAAACTAATACCACATGCTTAAGATTTGTGCACATATTTGCATGTGTGGCATTCAAAAAGATATACTATTTAGGGGAAAAAATCCATTTTATAATTCATAATTTGAAGGCCTTGCCACCTTATACTAAATACTTGAGTGCTAAATAATACAAAAGTGATGGACTCTACTACTGAGTGATTACAACCTTCGCTTTTTTCCATCTAAAAACTGGGAAAGGAAAGACAAATGCTGTGCTTTGATAATTGATTTCCGTGACTTTCTGGTTTGGGAGGTAGTTTGTAGAGTTGAATTGAGAATTAATTATTATGAGTTAAGAAGGCATTTTTGTATTTCACCCTTTCAATTCATGGAAACAAGGCACAGCCATTTAACCACTGGTAATACCAAAACTATTCACTTGTTATGACAGAAACCTTCAGTTATAGTTACATCTTAACAACATTTATCCCAATCATACTCAGGATGTGCAAATTGAGGTCATGTGATCTACCATATGACCCCCCAGGTAAAAATATAAGGTGGGATCCTGCCAATCCCACCTGGGATCCCAGGTGTGTCCCAGGTGGGATCCCACCTGGGATTATGGAACATCCTGCATGGGATCCCACATGGGATCCCACATTAAATTCCTAATAGCATCCTGCCAATCCCACCTGGGATCCCAGGTGTGTCCCAGGTGGGATCCCACCCAGGATTATGGAACATCCTGCATGGGATCCCACATGGGATCCCGCCAATTGAAGTTGGGATCCTACCTTAAATTCCTAATAGCATCCCACCTGGGAAAGCACATCCCAGGCGGGATTAAACCCAGAATCCCACCAATCCCTCCTGGGATCCTGCCTTAAACTTCAGATAGTTTCCCACCCAGGAAATCACCTCTCAGACGGGATTGCACTTGGGATCATGCCAATCCCAGTTTAGACCCTGCATAAAATTTTTAGATGGCTTCCCACTTTCAGAAAAATCCTTAGTGGGATCCTGTTTAACACTGGAGACCACAGATTTATGAAATGTACTAGATGGGATATCTTTTCAATTCCTTTTGTAACCTAATCCTTCAAATTAAGAGGATAAAATTTTCTAGGTGAGCTATAGACCCCATCAATCCACTGAGGGTCCAAAACTTTCCAACTAGCTATATAACATACTGACACCTCCAATTGTAACATCAAACAGTACATGAATACACAAACTATATGTGATCAAGATCTCACAATTTATTTGCAATGAACCAGCATGTGTTCGACGTTGTTTCATTAACAAATTTCTTAACCGAACACTTTTAAAGAATAACAGCACAACTCAGCATATTACTTTTTCTTCATTATTTATGCAGACCATTTACAGTGTAATATGGCTCAAAGTTTAAAAAAATTGGCTGTTGTATATCAAAGAATAGAAGAAAGACAAAACCTCAATAATTCATCTTATCAAAAATTTGACAAAGAAGGTAGTGATTTAAATTCTGCTCTCTCTTAAGTCGAATTTTTCAAAGCAAAGCAAGGTCAGAATGTTCCCAAACGTGACGAAAGTAATCTTGAAACCTTACTGATAGATTTATTTCATTGTAAAGTGTAAGCATAGGAAACTGCAGCAAGTGACTAATTCGACTCTCAAAATTATTCGAGTTTCAGTTGCGCCGAGCGTTACGTGAGCTTAATTCAAGCCGTTATATCTATTCTTTGGTAAGATTTTGATCACGTAATGAATATCGCAATTTGTACTCACCACAAACTTTCAAAATCCTAGCTTTATAAATGGCCACTCGATCGTTGTTTGAACCAGTCAACATGTCAACTGTTAATTGTCCCTTCTTTTAATTCCACGGCTCCAACAACTTTCTTTTCATTTGCAACACTCACGCTGTTCTCGTTTTCCCATTGAACCACAATAAAACCCATCTTTAGAAGTGTTATATTAAGCAAAACAGTTGAGAAAAGAAACAACCTGTGGATTTGTCAAAGTCAAAGCTCAGCACATCTTTCAGGCAGATTGGATGAGATGAGGAGCTTGACAAACAAGTCCTTGTCGGCATTAACAGTAATTAGCTTATTGCTGGATTTGACTCCAACCTTATTTGCACTGCAGAACCTTGGATCTTGATGTTTTTTTTACGAGATTAACCCACACACAAGATTAATACTTCCTTATTGCATTATCTTACCCCCTCTAGACTTTTACAAGGGATTATGATTAATAACCAGGGGAAATGTGTGAGTCATGAAATAAACAGAGACTAAGATTTTGATTTTGATTTACATTTTTAGACAAACCTGAAGGTGCAAGGCTCACTACCAATACTTCACAAAATACCATCATTAAAGGAGATACAGTTACATTCAAGTGCATAGTTATGGCTGCTGTGCCACAAGTGTCAATTTACAAGTTCTACTTCAATGGCTCCCTCCTCAGTGATAACAGCAACAGTGAGTATACTCTCAATAACGTCAACCGATCTCAGCACCATGGTGATTACAAATGTGTCCCACATAATGCTGTTGGAGATGGAGCAGAAGCCACTGTGAGACTTAACATAAATGGTGGGTAGAAATGTCTTTGAGCATTTTTAAGTAATTTGGACAAGTAATCCAAAAAACATTTTTTACCTATTTACATTGCAACAATGAAACTTCCAACACTCTGAATTATTACATCCCTGACCAGAGAAGAATAGAGACCCTAGTAACAAGGTTGACACGGTTGTGCCTGCCCCCCCTCCCTCCCTTTACAGGTTTTTCCTGGGAGTAATGGGAATGAGTGCAGAGTGTGAGGTGGGTTAGGGGAAGGAGAAAAAAAGTCCACCTGAAGAGGTGACTCCCTCAGCTTTCCACACAATGCTCCTTCCCAAGGTACTTTGGAAAAGGGGTGGTGAAGGATGCCTGTCTCAGAAAATTTAGCCAGGGCCTAATAGTAAATGAGTGCCTAATAGCTAAAGTTGTGCCTGATAATAATGAACTGGTACTTAATAATGATGAACAGATGCCTAATAATGATGGGCTTGTGCCTAATAACAAAATGGCAGGTGCTTAATAATAAAAACCAATAACTTATTATGATGAACTTGAGTCTAATAATAACGAAACAAGCCTAATTATGGTTCACAAGTGCATCATAGAAACAAAACAATGATTTGGCAGGAATGGCACCCCGTGGTGCTTGCCGGGCTGAAGCAATTATCCTGTGTCCACTAAAAACTGTAAACTTATGCTTTTCATCAGAATATTTGCTTTTCATCAGAATATTTTAAAACCGGTGCAAATTATGATTAGCTGATAAAGTGAAAGTTTGTTTCCTTTTTTTTTTTTTTTTTTCAATTTTTTTTTAGTGTATTAACACTTCAGCTCCTCTGTTTTTGAGCTGTGATGCCTCTGGTTTTCCTGAACCTAAGATACGATGGGAAAAATCTGGGATTAAATTGTCAGACACCAAACAGCTGAACATCTCTAGTAGTAACAGGAATTATGCAGGAGAATATGTTTGCATCGCACGCAATGGAGTGAGATGGGAAAAGACAGTAAGAGCTTATGTCACTGTGCAATGTAAGTCTTTTTTTCAATATGTCATAAAAAGCTGCCACAGCTGTTGAATAAATGATACAGTCAAACTTATATTAAGCAGCACTATATTAAGCGGTTACCCTGTATTTAGTAGTCAGTTGTCAGAGTCCCAAATTTTTTTCTCCTTAATTGTTGTAATTTTCACCTCTTTATAGTGGTCACCTCTAATAAGTGGTCGTGGTTACCTTTGACTGAGTGACAATAGCCTGTTTGTGTTGTCTTCCACCTGTAATGAATGGTCATATAAAGCGGAACGACTCGATTAAAACTAAGGATGATTTTTTTGTGTAAATTCAATCCATGTTTAAAACAGGTTTCATTATTGTACAAAATAACCAACTGTCCAACTATAGTGAGATTTTTAAACTCGATCCGTGCATTATTTGTACTCTCTTAGGTGCAGTTGGATAATAATTATATGTTAATCATAGGCCGGGAGGTCAGTATTGGGAAAAACTGTGCCCAAAGTCTTTAGTACTGCCAAAGGCAGTACACGAGACAGACACAAGACACACAATTCAGACCAACCTAGACTGGTTATGAACATTTTTTATTTTTCCTTGAAGTTAACAAAATACTTGCCAAAAGAACATGAATTGATTTAGGGCTGTAATTATGGCAAGATCCTCCATAAACTGAACAAACCTTTAGCGAGTAAATTATAGTTAAAATGGAGGTAATGCAAATTAAAGAGAAAGGCTTCACTAAAACATTGTTATTTGCCTTATGATGTAGGTGATTTATAAAGCTTCCAAACAAACTTGGAAACTGTCGTGATATTGCGTTACACGGTCACGCCACTGGGCCGATGAACATCTATATATTTAGAAGACTTAGGAGACAACGAACACACACGTGGCGGCAGTCGAGTTCGCACAATAAACAACCCTTTTGAGTTCACAGAATCGTGACAGAAACATTATTTTTACAAGTATCTGTCACTATGTGACACCTGTCAATTAGAGAGCACTTGAAAAAAAAAGTGCATGTACACTTTCGAAAAAAAGTTCATGAACTCTCACAACAATGTTTTCTTCAAAAACAGTCAATGTTCTTAGGTAAAGTATTATTCACTTCCACCAACAACTAATGTACAAAGATTTACCTCTGTCAGTCAGTAAATGACAACAAAAGTAAGTGCAAGTAAATTCAAATGTATGTTTTGAAGTTGTGAGAGTTTGCTCGTTTGTTTGCTGCAATGGGCGTGTGTAAATCTGGTCTTTCTTCCACCCAGAAACAAAATTCATCTGAGACACTTTTACTAGACACAACAAGAGTCAATACGACCTTTTCTCAGTGAGTTTCTTGGTTTCTGCTCTGTAATTTACAGTACAAATGTCCAAAAACGGACTTGGAAAGACTTATTGAAAGCGTATTTGTAGCAGAGCTGAAAACTTTACTCACCCATTCACAACGAACAAGAGAGAATTCACAGAATACATAGATTTAACCAAGCCTAAAAGCAGAGCGTCAGTAAGTTTATTTTTTGGCCCTTCACTTTACAAAAAGTCCTCTGCAGTCGTTGTCAAAGAGGTTATTGAAGGGGACCAGCTGGGGTGGGGTATGGGGGAAAATTGGGGTCTGAATTGAGGGATAATGTTTTCACAACTTAACAAAGTGACCAGCATATGTGCTAGTCAGCGGTATTTTCAGGCAGATGAAGACCTCTGTTGATATTCCTGATATTTTGAACAAATTTTCGAGGATAGGGAAACTTTTCTTCTTCAGATGTAGTGTATGATGTTAGTATCAGTTGAAATGATATTCTATTGGAATGAATTAAAATATTGGTTTGCGAAAACGAGCCAAAATTAAAGAAACGACCATAAACGACTTCGAGTTAAGATATCAGCGTTCAATTGTAGGGTATTCACCTGAGAACAGTGAGTCGGGGAAACAGTACTCCGGAAGTGTATGGGCTTCTCTTATATCTTCTCTTGGTGTCGCTTGGTATGACTGTTCGCTCTGCCAACTTTTCTCCTATGTGTCAACCTTCACTCGAAAGCATTAACAATTAAACTAAATGATTTCTTCTGGTAGACATAGCTTAGTGTTGTTACTTGTAAGTACATTGATTAGAATTGCAAAATACCGATGATTAGTGGTGTCTGTAACTACAACTTAATCAGTATGATTTTCCGCTCAAAACGCGGGTTGCAAAGTCTTTGCTTGCGCGGCGTGATGTCTACTAGCCCACATGAAGCCCTCATGTAATTCCTCGTGTGGTGCACCGAAGATCGGCATACGATTATGCTCACTTCATCACTTTTTACTTGAATAAAGGGGGTAAGTTTCTAATGAAACTGGTGTTGCTTCGGTGGGAGAGTATAACAGGGTAATTTTGTATTATCGACTGAGGTGATAATGTAAATTGGCCACCGTAAAGAGTTAAAAAGCTGACGTTTCGAACGTTAGCCCTTCGTCAGAGCAAAAATGGCAACGAAGGTGCCGATGACTCTGCGATTCACGTGGGCGTTACCGTGCCCGTGGGTAGAGATAGGAAAATACGGACCGCGCTAAGAACCC